TCCAAAAATAAGGGTTTTTAACTGGTTTATGTCCGGAAAACTTTTTTGACCCTTTTTTAATGTCCGGAAAAATTGTTTGGGGGGGAAAATAGTGGCCAGAAATAAAAATTTGCCGGCAAGGCATCATCGGTTTTGGCAGGGCAATTCTGGCAGACACCCCGCGAATTAAAATGGGCTAGTTTCGCCCCTTTTCACTGGGGGGGGGGGGCAAAACAGGAAAAAAGGCAGAAGGAAAAATATGAGCTGTCGAGGTTTGGCTAACGCGCGAGTCTGAAGAGCGGAGATTTTGTAAAACTTTAAATTAATTTATTAACTTCAGCTATATATTTAATTTAAACAATAACTTCAACTCTTTGTAGCTATAATCGTACAGCTATAACCAGTGGCGTAGCCAGACCTTAATTTTTTTAGGGGGGCAAACCTCACACCGAAGGCGTGAGACCGTCCAGGAGGGTCCGGGGGCATGCACCCCCGGGAAAATTTTGAAAGCTAGGGTCCCTGAATTGCGATTTCAAGCATTTTGAAGGTGAAACGTAGCAGAATTCCGAAGATTATAAAGTACATCGAAGACATGAATTTTTCCAGACATTTCTACTCGAAATTAAATAAATTGGAAAAGTCACCTTGAAAAATAGGAGGAGGGGTCAGTGTCACCTTGTTTCCTCTCTGTGATGCTGGGGGGGGGGAGAAAATCCCAATGTGATTTTGATCAGAAATGTTGCATTTAAATCATTTTAGGTTCTATGAGACACCATTTCCGCATTCTCAAAATTGAGGTGCTTTTTCATACGATACAGAATAAGTCTGAGAAGAAATATTTATGCTATGATGATGCATACATAACAGTTAAAAATTTAAACTAAATCTATTCTTCTTGGAACCATATCTACAACTGCTTTAACGAGATTTTACAAAGCAAGTTCCTCCAGTATATCGTCTTTTTCCTCAGACGGGACGTACAGTAATCAGTTTCAGCTTCGAGCATGCGCATGTAACGTGTACCACCCCAATTTCTCTACGGATTTAGCCTTTTTATCCTTTTTATTTAGCTTTCATGTCTGGCTGAAGTCTGTGGTTATATAATACATTGCCATACTTAGTGAGAAATCAGGCCAAGTTGGCCCAATTGGCACTTTATCTCAAGTGATTTTGTGTTGTGTTGTTGATATCTCTCCCAGCAAATAAGGAACTGGTCATTATTTATGGCGAGGGGTGGCGCCGAAGAGAAATGTTTTCCTTGGTAAAAGATTTGCGGACCCAATCATTCCAGTGCCTTTTTTAACTATATGTCTGAAATCTTGGCCTGATTTCTCACTAAGTATGGCAATGCATTATATAACCACAGACTTCAGTCATCCCTCGCCATAAATAATGACCAGTTCCTTATTTGCTGGGAGAGATATCGACAACACAACACAAAATCACTTGAGATAAAGTGCCAATTGGGCCAACTTGGCCTGATTTCTCACTAAGTATGGCAATGCATTATATAACCACAGACTTCAGCCAGACGTGAAAATAGCAGTTGAGTTCTCTTCCAGCAAAGATAAAAGCCAAAAAATTGCAATAAAACCTCCCAAAACAAAACACAACGCCTCTGCGGAAGAGAGAGCTAGGAAATAGTCGCAAGGTTTGGAAAGTCTAGCATTTTAACGGATTGTTTGCATGAAATCTATCGCTATTTTGAAATATTCGGTGAAGAACAACATGAATTACAGTCATTACACACAAGATGGCTGTCGAGGAGGCTATGGAAGGGCATAATCTCATTATCAAGTAAATCAACTGCAATTCTGACAGCAATCATGAGCAATTCTGCTTCGCACTTCGGGGGCAGAAATGACTTTACTGGGGGGGGGGGGATTCTTTCCCTGCAATTGCCCCCCCCCCCCCAGATATATAGTTTAAAAAGGCACTGGAATGGTTGAGTCCGCAAATCTTTTACCAAGGAAAACATTTTCGGCGCCACCCCTCGCCATAAATAATGACCAGTTCCTTATTTGCTGAGAGAGATATCAACAACACAACACAAAATCACTTGAGATAAAGTGCCAATTGGGCCAACTTGGCCTGATTTCTCACTAAGTATGGCCCATTATATAACCACAGACTTCAGTCAGACGTGAAAATAGCAGTTGAGTTCTCTCCCAGCAAAGATAAAATCCAAAAAGTATACACAAGCACCTTACCAAATGAACATGTTTAGACAGAAGGCCCGAGAAGGGTGGTGTGTGTATTGGTATAAGATTTAAATTAACAAACTATAAATTTTTTTTCTGTGTTGGTGTTGTGTACTCAGGTGAATATGATGTTTGTGATGTTACTCTGAATGTATATCCACACCGGGCGAGCTTTGGTGTTGTGTACAAAGGTGAATATGATGTTTGTAATGTTACTCTGAGTGTATATCCACACCGGGCGAGCTTTGGTGTTGTGTACTCAGGTGAATATGATGTTTGTGATATGTTACTCTGAGTGTATATCCACACTCAAGCTCGCCCTGTGTGGATATACACTCAGAGTAACATCACAAGCATCAAATATAAAAATTTTCCGTGTTGATATACAGTTGTATCAACACAAGTGGAAATTGGGAAAACGAGAAATTGTGTGGAAGAGTTTTCACACAATTTCGAGTTTTCCAAATTCCACGAGTGTTGACATATAACTGTCTATCAATACGGAAAATGTTTTATATATTTTTTATAATATAGGCAAAGAAATTTAAAGAAAGAGATTTTCCGTGTTGACATTGAGTTATGTCAACACGGCTCTTAGCCAATCAGCGTTCAGAATTTACAAATGCTATGTTATAAACTGTATTATCATATGAGATGAAGACCTTTCCAGGAAACCACTGAAGTGTAGTTTGCAATAATCCATTGGCAGACAGTACTTGAAGATATCGATGTAGATAAAAAGCAGAACCGGCACCTAGTTAAGAATCAATAAATCACCATACAATAGGTTGCACAATGAAAATAACGACAGATAGGTTAAAGTATAGATACACAGATAACATGGACACTTCCCGAATTTTCTTGACTGCGTGCACGTGCGGAAAAGATATAGAATCATGTGTGCATTTAAGGATGGTTGGGTAAATACTAGACTTGCTCAGATCCAAGTCTCGATCGCTCGAACTGGCTTTATTTTTGAAGGGGTCTACCCAGACGGATATGAATAGGCCCGACTGAAAATGAAACTGATTTCATGACAGACTGGATAAATCTTATCAAAAATGAAGCCAAATCGAGAGAGACTTAATACGCCCGTATTCTAAAAGCTCACTCACACTCAATGATTGGAGGTTCAATCTGAGCTTCCCTTGAGTGTGAATGCTGTTTTTGAATAGCTGGAGGGTCAGTAAAGTATGACACTAACCCATTTTCGTACCCAGAGCCCTTCTTACGCGCGGTGCGACGAGTCGCTCTGGCCAAATCCATAACCGGATACCATAAAAACATGGTAAGAAAACAATGTCCGGTGTTAGAACTAGCCAATCAGATGCCAGTTCGGAATATGGATTTGACCAGAGCCCCTCGTCGCACCGCGCGTAAGAAGGGCTCTGGGTACGAGAATGGACACTAACTTCAGCTATTCAAAAACAGCAATGACACTCGAGAGAAGCTCAGATTGAACTTCCACTCATCGAGTGTGAGTGAGCTTTTAGAATACGGGCGTCGGTCTTGGAGCTAGGTCTAGCTAGGGAAATACCAACTTTTGTGATTGGTGTTTTATTCCCTGTATGGCCTCGCCAGGTTTTGCAATGGCAACTACACTTGTTCAAAGGGGGGGGGGGTGATGTTCAATCTTAGGGGTCTTGGTGCAGAGCAAGGGCCTTTCACGTATGAGATCGTAGGTTCGATTCTCGATCGCTACGAACTCTTGTGAGAAGAGTCTGTCAGCGCTCTGCCGAAAGTTGCGGGGCTTCTCCGCGCACTCGAGTTTATTCCCACAGGGAAAGTTGACAGAGTGGGTTAGAAAAACATAGTTAGAAACTAAGAAAAGTAATATTACATGCAATTGTTGTAAAAATAAATAGTCCAGGCCAAGTAGGTGATATAAGTATGACTAATACTTGATGTAATCGGTCACTGACAAAACATGAGACTGCAAGTAGGCTACTGTAGGTTATGATTTCTCTTCAGAACCCCAGACCTTCCAAGTTTCCCGCAATTACCGTGAAATTCCCGCATTTTTGTTTGCTTTCACGCATCACGCATGAAGTGACTTTCTTCCCGCATTTTTAAACTTAACTTGTGGAGGTTTCTTCCTGTGGGGCAATTACTCTTCTCATTTCTTTTCATTTGCACCAGGATTTGCACAATGTCCAATGCATTCGTTTTGCCAACGTCAGCACCCTGAAGTCTTGAGAAGTCTTGAAAACGTGTGTCTCAATCGCATATCAAAGAGACAAACTGGGAGACTCCTGAGCCTGAGGAGCGTTATTTTTTGCCGTTTGGGAAGGAGGAGCGACGCTAATATTTCATATTTTTATAGCATGAACACATAAGGTTTGTGCCTTGAAAAAGGCGTAAGAAAAACCTCACGTAAAGGCAATTTTCTTGCGATCTGGGGAACTCAAATTTCAAAATTTCCCCCAGGGCGCGCCAACTATGGTGGCGCCTCGTCGACACTAACCTTAGGAAATTACTGGAAATTACCTTCCCGCATAAAAAAAACCCGTGAAAACTGCTGTTCTAGAGACCCTAGAAATTCAAAATTTGTCCAGACGCCCTTAGGATCATTATACCATAGGAGTTCATTTTTGGAAAATATGTTTGTTTTGCCTCCTCCCCCACCCCCCTAGCCTGCGTTGCTGGCGTTTTATGAGGGGGGGGGGGGGAAAAACACCAAGTCAACACCCCCTGGCCACTGATCATCTGGTAGAACTTTTCAGCTTTTACATTTATTCCCAAAGCCCAAAGTGAGGTGTTCCGTTTCCTGGTGCCTTCCTCTGGGAGGCTATAAACCTAAAACAGCAACTTGCAAAATGTGTTTGATATTTTCTTCTCTGGTACAAAAATACAGCCAAAATACATACAACTTCCTATTAAATACAAATATTCTCTTTACACATACTAATATTATAGTGACTATTCACAACACCCTAAATTCATTCAGTACCACATATAAATATTTGTGTATAAAATTGTATACCAAGTGCAGAATTGAGTATCCATGACTAATGGTGCTAATGTTTTCTAAATATATTTGCTATATATAATTATGTAAGTATTGAAATTTTTTTGTTAATATTTCTTTCGAGTACCACAAGCAGATGCAAGAACTGCTGCTATAGGCCCATTTATTGCAGCTGCTATTAATTGACACAACTTTCGTCAATGTATGGATGTCAGGATTGAGTCAAAATAAAATTGAAAAATGTCCAACAATTTCATTTCGATTGTACATACTTTCCACACAATTATTGAACATTATTTCAGACACCAATATGACTAGTTTACCAAGCACAAACATACTTCTAATGAACTCAGAACATTAGGCCCGTTTTAGACAGCATACTTTTCATGTGCTGAACATAATTGACCAATTATAGGTACAACATAAGAGCGATGTACGATTCAATTAAGTATTGTGGCAGAATTTGGAGTGAAAAAAATTGGACACAAGTTCAGAAAAGCGTTATACGGCGACATTGATCCACACGCCGCTCAACTCATGTGCCAAACTTAACTAAACACTTTGAAATTTTTTATTTAGGATTTGTTTGCAAATGTGCTTCAACTAGGGTCTCAACCTTTTCAAATTTAACCTTATATTTTGCATGCTGTTTGAAGTGTTGCCATTCTTGTATCACCCCGGTGTCGCATTTAACACAAAGTACATTTGGCGCATGAAGAGTAATGCCATCGGAAACGGGCCTAATAGCAGCCTTGAATTTATCTCTACACACTACATACCAGTATTTCAATTCAAAGCTTCACCAAATATAATTTGTACCACACATAATTCTCATCTCACACAACAAATTACTTTCTTTTCTGTTTTAGATTATTTCACAAGAATGCCATCAACTTCAATCAATTCAATGCTAACGTCAAGAAACAAATCAAAATACGGCTGAACTGGATCTTCGAAACCTGCGAGTATGTCTGATTTATGAGTCCGCAAATTCTCAATAATCAATTCTTGCTTATCACAGTCCAGTTGGCACTTGAGTACATCACCCTCCTCCCACCATTCCAATGGGGATTGGGTTACGAGGGATTGGGGACTATACTTAGTGCCACCCGATGTCCACACCCACTTGTTACCAGTTTTCCAACCGAGCCTGTGAAGGTGTTCGCCTTTTAGAGAAATGCCGACAGCTAAACCTCGGCCAAACTTATTGATCTTAAAACACCACGAATGTTTCCCAGTTATAAAGTCATCTGTGCCAACCACACTTTCGACATCAAACCGTTTTGACGTCACTGTCAAGCAGTCATTCGAGAATTCTGGGTGACCAGTAAAGGATTGTTTATCGAATTTCCACATCTTGATCGACCCTATATGAAATGAAACATACATACAAAATATGAGTTTTTGTGGAAACATCATGTTTATTTAATGCCTTGAGAACATACAAAATATATTGATGATAACAGAGACATTGTGTTACAGTCATAATTGGCCTGTATATTGACACGTCAAAGCTATAATTGCTCTATCTACAAAATTGCTATTTCCTTCACTCAGTGTTCAGTTTACCAATGACCATAACATATTAATTTTGGTATTGCACACACATACTACCTTGAATAGGAATTTAGTCTTTGCTTTCAGTCAAAATTCAGTTTCTAAACAACACAATAAAGTATAAATATTAAAAACACACAAATATTCTGTGTGAATAATTATAGAGAACAGTTTACAGTTATATTAATCATGTGATATAATAAATATTGTCATTATTGTGATTGTGAATAATTTATGCATTCCATGCCTTCGCATCATCTATCCCTTTTTCATCCTATTTTACACCTGTTATATCTGTATATTCTGGGAACAGTCCTACATACCCAGCAATATCCTCTATTGTTCAACCATTACCATATCCATCTCTTTATGCACCTTTATATCCAAACACAATTTATCAAGCATTGTCCCATTTTCTCCATTCTTTTTTCTTTATATCCCTTTGCCACACTAAAACGTCCAGCAATGTCCTCAATATTTCACGGGGGGTTACTGCACTTTTTTGCTGATTCGTTCGCATGTAAAATTTTATAAATTTATATGCAATTTTAAAGTTTGTAAATGTAATATTAAAATGGTGGACTATCGGTATACTTCACACTTAAAAAAAGAGGAGCTTGAACAAGAAGAAGCTTTACTTAAAAGCGTCAAAGATAAACTGGTGGACCAGCTTCAGAGACTCAAAGTGTGTGAAGCATATTTTTATATGATGTATCAGATTTTGTTGTTTAATTTGATATAATTAATTATTAAAATCAAATTGAAAATTGTCTACTCTTTACATGTTATTTTTGATACTTTTTTATAGGTCGAAGAGCTGGCTATAGTGAAATATATTTCTATGAGCAACTCAACAAATTTGTCTCAAGCTGCAAGTTCTACAGGGTCATACTTCAGTGCAAATATTCAGGTACTGTTGTACATTCATTATTATAATAGCCGCATTTACCGATATTATTATCAGACTTGGAGATGGGAAACTCGTCTAATATAAATCCAGCGATAGACGTGTTTTCCATCTCAACTTTCCATCTAACTTTGGATGGAAATCCCATCTACACGCATAAGAATCTCACATCTTGTAGCAAGTATGCCAACAAGCTGTTAGCCTGCGTAGCTGGCGGTTTTAAGGGTTGGGGTTTGAGGCGCGGGCAACGAAAATTAGGGAGGCGAGGCGCAGGAAGGGGAAAATGCAGGCGAGAAAAGGCGAGGTTTTCTCGCCTGCATTTTCCCCTTCCCGCGCCTCGCCTCCCTAATTTTTGTTGCCAGCGCCTCAACCCCAACCCTTAAAACCGCCGGCTACGCAGGCTAACAAGTCGTCAACAACTGCTTGCCCCAAGTTGCCAACAATTTTGGAACAAGCTGTTAACAACTTGTAACAAGCTTGATGATCGATATTATCAGACTTGTTGCAAGGTTGTTCCAACAAGTCCAATGATCATGATATAATTAGAGGGTATTACATGGCGGCACAAAGATAAGACTTTTATCTTCGAGTGGTAAAATATTGTTTTTTAAAATGATAAGATAAAAGTCATATCTTCAAGCCACCTTGTAATATTCTGTTTATTTTAAAGTCCCAAACAAAAAATTGAAATTTCACACTCAAAAGCAAATTGGAAAAAGTCACGTGATTGATATCTTCACTAGTGAAGATATGGAAAATATCTCACTGTGTATTTTTCAGTATCTCACTCTCTACTATATAATAAATAACAATGCTGTTACAACCTTAATGTGTCCGGCTTGTTACCGTATATCATGACTGTATCAGACTTGTTAAGGCCATGTTACACAGTGCAATTTTTCTTGCAACTTGCAATGCAATTCTACTCTTGTGAGATGTTAATTAGTGAAATCAGTGAAGAATAGAGGTCAGCCGATGTCTAAAAAAACCCGATTACCGATACCGATTGTTAACAGCCGATATTTACCCACCATCGGCCGATTAATCGGCAAAACCGATGGTCATCTTAATTTTATTTTACTAATGTATCCTCTCGTCAAAAGACTCAAAACATGCAGAAACAGGAAGCAACATTTTTAACACTGATTCTGAAATCCACAGCGTGCTACTGACTGGTTAATGGAAATTACGGAACACGATAATTTAATTAATAAATCTTGCAGAAATGCAGAATATTTGTGGAAAACAACTATGAAAAAACGCAGGAAATCGTTAAACATAGTGTTTCCACTTTCACAATTGTTTCCACACCAAATATTTGAATTTCATTTTTTTATTACACCGCTGACTATACAAATGGTGGAAGACAATCGGCCGATGGCCGATTGTAAAAAAACAAGCCAATTAATCGTTTTTGCCGATGTTTTGCCGATGTTTTGCCGATGATTGGCTCACCTTTTTTTTTCGATATGTTGAGAAAACATCAACAGAGTGTAATGAAGACTTGTATTTGGCAATTTTACATCTCTCAAGAGCAGAATTGCATTGCAGGTTGCAAGAAAAATTGCACCGTGTAACATGGCCTTTAGAACAACCTTACCACAAGTCTGATAATGCCATCAATTCGTTTTGTTTCAACATCTTTTAAATTGAAACTAATAAATCTATATTCATTTTAAAGCATAGCAAGTAACCAGAATGATACAGTATGTTATAGATATTAACTAAGTCCATTATATTTTATGAGTACAGTGTCTTCAAAATGTTAACAAACTGCGCATGCGCTGAAAGCGGACCCGATTGCCTCTTTAAATGAGACGGTAAAGCTGTTGCTAAGACTGGAATAATCGAGATAAACATACTGTATAAAATTATATGTAAACATATAAAAATTTCAGATAGATTTCTGTTCCCAAATTTATATTCAGATCAAGGTTTTCATGGATGTCCAAGACGAATTTCCCATCGCTAATATGAATTCGGCTGATATTAATAACATTTATAATTCAGCCAAAGTAAGAATTTTTTGCTGCTGATTGCTGTTAAAAAGTCAGCGATTATACAATTCGATTCGTAGTTCGATTAACTAAACACACTTTGGCGTAAGGTTTAAAAATTGACGGGTATTCTATATATATAATTTAGGTAAGACTCCAAAAGAAAAGCCGTTGTGTTTCTGTAGTTCGCATTTCCGCAGAAAAAAGCATGCTTTGTATTCCGACTTCATTGATTTGCAGTACGTGATTACTAGTGCTCCAAGACATGGAAACAGATTTTTAAAAATGACGAGACGTGTCGACCTAGGTCAGATTTAGGTTGGCATTTTTTTCCCGAAGCAATGAATGAAGCAATTGATTGGTCGAGAAATGTATTTCTATAACTGTATGCCGAAATATGGAAAAGTTCTCATCTTGCGGGTACTGTACAATGATGTTGAAGCACAAACAATACTTTGATTACATTTCTATTATTTTTTGTGATGATTTTACAGGGTGACACAGATACCAATGAAATAGATAAGATGAATGAAGAAATAAACACTGTCCCATTGGTTGACTTATCAGAAGGTCTAACCAGGTGTGTATAAAAATTCAAGTAATACGGGGTGCACTAGGGCACAATGCAACACACTTAATGGATTAAGTGCAGTATTCTGGCCACTAAACCACTTTGTCAACATGCCGAACATGGATGCTGCTAGCATACATAACTTAACAATCTTTAATTTAAGTAACCCATTACAGGGCAAGTTGCATTGCATCCTAATGTGCCCTATTTTATTGTTTTACTCTGTCTAATGCTAGATATGCTGGATAGTTGAAAAATATCCTGCCATATTAACCACCCGGATACCAGATATTTGTTGTACAAGGTTCGATTACCGGTATTACCTAATCGGACCTAGTGTTGCATTTCCCGCAGAGGAAAGCCTTGCTTAAACCCACTTCAATGAAACCCATTCATGAAAATATTGCCAGCTTCTGTACAATCATTTCAAGTAAAAGTACAGTATAATGAATACTTGTACTTTTGAAACCATATTACATCATTAATTACTATCCTGAAAGAAAGGCCTGAACCTCAAAAAACAACATCCATGGAATTGTGACGAAAAACAAAGTCCATCATCTACTGTATGCGAAGCGCAAGAGATTCTTTGAATTTCTACCAGCCTTACTGAATTCAAGCACAAAGTAGTTCTGGTCAGCTTTCAAGTTCGTTTCCAAGCACCCGAACGTACTGTACCCAGCAAAATGACTTGGTCTCAACCTGACGGTGTAATGACTTCAGCCAACAACGCATCCGATATTGCAAACATACTAAACCAATACTTCTACTCCGTCTTCAAACCTTCTGATGGCAATGATGATGAAATGTCCTTTCCTAGTTCTAATGACTCAAACTCAGATACTTCAGAAGGAACCATCTCCACCATCCCCCTAACACCCGAGGAAGTTTGCCACGTTCTTGTTGCTCTTAATGAAAGCAAAGCGACTGGACCTGGAAAAACACCAGCAAAACTCCTCAAGAACTGTGCGTCCAGTGTTTGTTCGTCGTTATGCGTTCTCTTTAATTAACAAAAGTTTATCTTTAAGTAAACTTCTGTACGAGTGGAAACTTTCCAAATAATGCCAATCCCAAGAAAGGTCTAGCTGAAGAAGTATCAAACTATCGACCAATATCTCAATTGTCCTTGGTCTCCAAAGTCTTCGAACGTTGTGTCTTCAACCAACTCATATCACACGTTTCCACTCAACTCCACCATTTACAATTCGGTTTCCTCCGGGACAAGTCCACCACCTCACAGTTACTGTACGTTCTTCAGGATACCCACAAAGCGTTGGAGAATCAAGCCAAGTTGACTCTGTCTATCTGGATTTTGCAAAAGCGTTCGACAAGTTAGTCACAATCTCTTGTTGACTAAACTTCACAAGTTTGGGTTAAGTGGTGACCTTCTATGTTGGTTTGAAGATTATCTCTCTGGCCGCTACCAAAGAGTGCTGTACTTGGTGAGACCTCGGGTTCACTTCCTGTCCTGAGTTCCTCAGGGATCAATTTTGGGTCCACTCCTTTTAGCAATCCTCTGAAGCCATTAACTTATCAAAAAGACCTCGGGATTGTTGTCACGAAAGATCTCAAGTGGAAGAAACAAGTCGAAGATATCTCAATCAAAAACAAACTCGATGCTTGGCTTTATTCGTCGAACAGCATCGGTCACGCATAACATCCATGTACGGAAGGTCTTGTACCTGTAATTGGTTCGCAGCTACCTGGGTTATGCCAGCCAGGTGTGGGCACCACAAACTGTAACCGACATACTGACAATAGAACGAGTCGAGCGACGAAATTCATCCTTTCCCTCCCCTATAGAACAGTCACTACATACAAGGTACGACTACAGTCTATTGGAAATTTCCCAGTCTGCGAATACACTTAACAAAGTCTAAACTAAGTCTAAATATTCGTACCGATTCTAAGCAATGATGTCAATGTAATCAGAACGAACAGCTATCCGAAATACAAGAAATGCCGACTCTGATAATGGCATTCTTCTCAATATATCCAGATGTTGAACCGTCAGCTACAAGAATAAATTTTACGTGAGAGCGCCCAGCGTTTGTAACGTTCTCCCTAGCGATACTCGTGACACTTCAATATCACTATTGTACTTTAAAAATTCATCACTTAATTATTACTTTAACCTTTTAGAATATATTTACGACCCGGACAATCCAAAAACATTCAAATCAGTCAAGTGCCACACAACTCGGTCTCTTCATTGCCCGTCAGTGAGGTCATGTTGTTGACAATCAAATAGCTTAGGGAATTTGTTTTATCATGTACATTTATTTCATGTAGAATTGTGTGTGGGACCCCGTTATTGGAAATTCCTCTCTGTGATCAGTCCCTGCCTGTGTAGTATGTAAATTTTGTCTTGTCTACTTTATGTCTGTTATGTTTCATTGGCGAATCTTGTAAATAAACAAATCAGTCTCTCTATCTGGCTGAATACTGTATGATATCCAGTGCGCAGTGGTGTCAAGTAACGAAGTAAATGTACTTCGTTACTGTACTTAAGTACTATTTTTGAGAAATGAGCATGTAACAAAGTAAACTTTTTCTGGAGTACTTTTACTTGGAACGAAGTCGTTTTAAGAAGTAACGTTTTACTTCGTTAGTTTCATTTTGTGGCGAAGTGTTTCGTTACTTTCTAACTTTTGTTTAATTTTTCTGATTTATTTTAACTTCGGGATAGGTAATACGACCTCTACATGCGTCTGGGATCTCTCGTTTGTGACTTATACTGATAAGCATTATTTAGTTAATGGATTTCTTATATCCTCAACGGGGTCTAGAAGGTAGACCATGCCGTGAAATATTGTATATTCGGTGCACGCATATAACGCGTGTGCTGTTTTGTGTCTTTTGTATGTCAATCCATTGGAGAAGTCCCCCCCCCCCCTTCTAGACGCTACAGACAATAGTACTTTTACTTTTACTTTGTACTTCAAGTATTTTTTAAGGATACTTTGTACTTTTTACTTAAGTACGTTTTGCTTCCAGTACTTTTTACTCTTACTCAAGTCGTTTTATTGTTAATTACTTCTACTTTTACTCGAGTACAAATTCAAAGTAATTTAGGCACCACTGCCAGTGCGCATCCCTATTGTCAAGGGGAGAGTGCTGATGCTCAATGGTTTAATACTGTAATTCCATCAGCATCCCAATGCTCCAGTTAGGGATCATCAACAAATAGATTTCACCCATCCCGCTGACTTGTTCCATGAGGGGAGTTATTACAGTACATACTGTAAGTGGGACAAAAACTGACTTTTCTGTTCAAACTTGGCACTACATGGAAATGGTCTATTTTCAATTTGTTGGCTTCGGTGGCGCAGTCGTCAGAGCAAGTGCCTTTCACCTCTGAGTTCGTGGGTCCGATTCTCGCTACGGACTCATGTGAAAAGAGTCAGTCAACGCTCTGCCGAAAGTCGTGCGTTTTCTCCGGGTGCTACGGTTTCTTCCCATAGGGAAAGTTGACAGGGTGGATTAGGATAAACACAGTTAAGAAAGTAATATCAAAGAAAGCTAAACGTTTCGTCTACGACTTTACGAATGCAAATTGGTCCGGTCTTATGGACGTTCTCAATAAGATCCCGTGGAATTTGTGTTTTGTGACAGGCAATATTGACGAGACCTTATCAAATTGGTGTGATATGTTCCTGAAAGCTGTAAATGAGTATATACCAAAACATTGCATCAAAAATTCTTACGATCACCCGTGGATAGATAAGGAACTACTTCAGCTAATTAGGAGGAAAAATACGCAAAGAAAAAAGTTAAAGAAATTTCCCAACCAAGTTAATGTTGATAAATATAAGAACTTAAGGCGTCTCACGAAACAACTCATCAAAAAGAAAAACTACAGCGGGAAACTTGCAGAATCCTTGCATAAAAATCCCCGACGATTCTGGACGGTCGTAAAACACTCGACAGCGAATCGAAAGAACATTACTATCCTCAAAAACGGACAATCTTACTCGACTGATAAATGCGAGATGGCGAATATCTTAAATAAGTATTTTCACTCAGTGTTCAGTCCTAAAGACTCGGACGTATTCGCTACATCTTCATCGCCATTAACGTCGTCAACCCATGAACTTTCTGATAACGTCGTCAACCCATGAACTTTCTGATATCCAACTCACCGAGGCTGAAGTCATTAGTGTTCTTCGAAACTTAGATCCACGAAAGGCGTACGGCCCTGATAACATCCCGAATAGACTGTCAGTAGAACTTGCTTACGTAATTGGACCTTCACTTTGTGAATTATTCAATATGTCCTTGGCTCTAGGAGAGGTCCCTTGCAAATGGAAAGAGGCAAACATCACACCTGCTTTCAAACGAGAAGACCCAACGCTGGCAATGAATTACCGGTCCATCTCATTGTTGTGTACATTATCTAAAGTACTGGAACGTTGTGTTTATAATCATTGTTATCATCATCTCGAGCCACGAATTTACGATCTTCAGCATGGTTTCATGAGGGGAAAATGTACGACCACACAACTTCTTGAAGTGTATCACTGCATCCTGGATTCTGTGGCAAGCGGTAAACAAGTTGATGCGATATATCTCGTTCTTTCAAAAGCCTTCGACAAAGTTCCTCACCACCTTCTGTTACGCAAGCTCAGTGACTTCGGAATTCATGGATCTCTTCTCTCCTGGTTTTCACAGTTACCTGTCTGATAGGCGTCAAAGAGTTGTTCTACATGGTGTTTATTCTGAGTGGTTTCCCGTTACATCCGGTGTACCACAAGGCTCCATACTTGGACCGTTACTCTTTCTGGTGTATTGCAACGATATCCAATCATACATCCAAAAGTCGAAGCTCGCATTATTCGCATATGACTCCAAACTCTACCTACCTCTCGTACAATCTGACTCAACTCACCTTCTTCAGCATGATCTCGACAACCTAATAACCTGGACCACCGATAATCAAATGGAATTGAACAATACAAAATGTAAAGCCATGCGGATCTCCAGAAAGAATACGCCCGCTCAAACCAACTACAGCATCAATGGACACATTATTGAGCAAGTGACGAATTTTAAGGATCTTGGAGTTGTACTGTCGAAAGACTTATCGTCGGTCCCAACACATTAACAGCATTGTTTCTAAGGCAAACAAAACTCTCGGTTTGATTAAGTGGAAAACGTCAAGACGAGAAGGACCCTATACTGCGCGCTAGTAAGACCAAAGCTGGAATATGCGAGTAACGTTTGGTCTCCATACACCATCAAACATAAACTTTTAATTGAAAATGTGCAACGTCGCGCTACAAGATTAATTTTAAATTATCCTAAAGGGATGTGTTACAAAGAACGCCTCCAGAAAACAAGCTTGCTGCCATTGGAATTCCGAAGAGAAATTTCTGATCTAATACTTCTATTTAAAGCTAAATACGATCTCATAGGAATGGATTTAACTAAGTATATACGTACATTTAACCCTGGATACAAGTCGCGTAACTACGATGAAAATGACTTTCACCTTATAATAAAGATTATTTCAGAAAATCTTATTTCAACAGATCAGCAAAAATTTGGAACAGTCTTCCCCCAGTCATAAAAACTTCTAATACTCTAACTTCATTTAGAACACGCGTAATAAATTTGTATAATAGCAAATTAATAACATACAATCTTCCTAGTATTAGCTATTAATATATTGAATGTTTTGTATTGAGTGTAAATATTTGTTAAGTGACGTTTAGTATAGTATAGCTATATGTTAGTACATAGTTAACAAAGGGATGAGGTAATAATTGGGATGAAAATTCTGTTCCTTGTTCCTGTCACACATGTCATATACTGTAGTGTTATATTGTTGTAATGTTTTCACATTTGTGACAAGCTTAATAATAATAATAATAATCACAATTGTTGTAAAGATAAAATAATCTAGGCTAAGTATGTAATTAGGTAAGCATATAATACTTGATGTAAAGCGCACTTGATCATATCTACAATAATGCTAATCGTAATTTGAAACAAGAGTTTTATTTTATTTTAGTAACTCACTGATCTCAAGTAGTCAAGCTGGAGTGGACCAAGAAGAAGAAGAAGAAGATGATGATGAAGACTAGACAATGTGACTGCCATGTTCGTTGTGCGAAAAGAATGTTCTGACCAAAAAAGTGGAACAAGTAACCAAGAAGTAATCAAAGCATCAAGGTGGAATCTGCAACTGTACTTTTGGTTAAACATGTGTGCCAGCTTACAGTACCTAAACCTCACATTAGTATTTCATTCATACCAGTGTTGTAACGAGTCTTCAATTTTCTGCAACTCGACTTGAATGTGAAAAATATTCAACAGCCCTGCCCCAGATGACTGGACTTGTTGATTTCTGCCGTAAATTACTCGAGTCAACTTACCTACAACTTGTTCAGGATAAATTCATCAAAACTATTGTAGTTGAGTAGACTGGGAAGAGTCCTGAAAGGACTCGAACATATAAAAAGTAATTCTCAATGCAGATAGGCATGTTTCCACTTGTAGGGAAATTTTAAAGGCATTTTTGTTCACCATATAATTTGTGTAGCCATTGACTCAACTCGACCAGGTAGTGAAATGACTCGACTTGTGCCTCGACCTTTGGGTGTCGAGAATTGCCCCCTGATAGTTCTCAACACAGTAAGTTTTAGTTTTCTTTAGTTTTAATAACGTTTATACGCACTATAAATCTCTCACAACACGCTGTCTCAAAATTGTTTTACAATCACAACAACTACTGGTATGTTCCGGAATGTACTGGTATGTACTGGTATGTACGCGCGTCCCACGCGTAACAAAACATAATATATAATGACAGTTTTCGACATGGGTGACTCGTTACAACACTGATTCATACAGTGTACAAAGCAGACTATTGTCATGGCTTGGCAGTGCTTATAGCATGTATTGGCTTGGCAGAGCTTATAACAAAATGAACAACAATTATTTTGCCATTATATAGATTTGTATATTTTTTGTTGCATTTAAGGAGATTTTTTTAAAAATTGAGAAACTCGCGATCAAAAATACCGTGATGCTTTGCGAAAAAATAGTAAATTTTGTTGTTTTTTTGGAACATGGCGGCAAAGGAGTGAACGTGTTTAAATTTTGCTTATTGATCTCATGAAAACTCGCTCGATGTTACATCTAAGACATGAAATGGTATATTCAGCATATTTTCCTGTACTGGAAGTTAATAAAACGTCTCCACGGCGTTTTAAACAACAACAACGTGCTTCGAACTCTGGAGGTGTATACTTCGAATGCAGAAGCCTAGAAGGTACGAATATTTTAACTGCTTCAGTTCTGTTTTTATGTGGCTAGATCTTAAAAATCATTGCGTCAATAGCAACATATTTGTCTAAACTTTGTGTCGTTTCTGCATCGATTTGATCTTGGCCTCAGATATTTGTATTTTGCCTTTTGAAGTGAGCGACCTTTCTTCGACTTTAAAAGTCCCATTGTCGTTCGCTCCCACAAATTATCCTGCAAATACACCTTGAAATTTATGTTGATTTCACAAAAAAATTATTGCATGTGAAAGAGTGTTATCGTATGCCCAAATAAATCTCAATTTATGCATGTATTGAAGCGTACTGTGTTGATAAACGTCCATTTTCCTTCTGCAAACATTATTATTGTATGTCATTTTTCGCGCCAACTTACAAAATCGATTCACCTTGGATATTTTAGATATTTTTACGTTTAAACCAATTGGCGCACTGTGGGACTTATAGTACATTGTAGTACAGTCTTTGAGGATAAAAACAGTGCCTGTTTGAAGAAATTTTAGGTGAATGGTCCTCGCACAATTTTTAAAAGTAAATGTTTTAGTTTCCCATTTTCCTCACTTTTTGCTAAAATAGATGGCTTTTGTTTTGATTGTTTAAAAATACTCTACCTAATGGTTAAACATTAATAGGTTTCCTAACTATGTAGCTTTGTAATCAAGTACCATTATAATGCCAGCCAAAATCTAGAAGAAAACTCTGAAAAAAAAATTATGAGATTTTTTGATCATGAAAATGTTGATTTTCTGCCAAGTGGGCAAAAGAATGACTGAAGGCTTTACAAAATTGCAAAAATAATGCTTAATATTGATTGGCACACCGCAAGGTGTATCTACGCTTGAAGTTTATGTATTACACTTCAAAGTTAATATGGTTTGAGAAAATTTTAGGTGCATGGTCCTCGCAGAATTTAGCCATTTTCATCGACTTTTCTTTTTGAGTTTTATTGCATTTAATTAAGGTGGCTCTATGATGTTTTGCAAGCTGTAAAGAAATATGTGCTGAAAATGCAGTATCCTTCATGATTGTAAATCACTATGGATATCAAAACTTTTCTAAAGTGTATTTTAGCATTTAGGGGCTTTTACATGAGCCTGGCTAGGCACTTGTAGCCCGGCTTATTACAAATTACATGAGCCTGGCTAGGCACTGAGGCGCCCGGCTTATTACAAATTCTTTAACAAAACAATTTTAGTTTATATGTCTAGCCCGCCTAGCCGAGATCTCACTTGAGTCAAACAGGGCGCCTGGCTAACCGGGCTGAAATTTTCCCATGTAAAGTCACCAGCCCGGGAAACCTCTTTGCAGCCCGGGTAGCCGGGCTAGCGAAAAAACTTCTGTACAAGCTACAATATCGATTTGAATTAGTATTTTTTGGACAAATAGTTATTTCTTAAGTTGTTCTTAACATGCATTTGGCTTGTGTGACAAATTCCCCCCCCCCCGCCATATTTGGCTTGATAAAGTTTCAGCCCTGTTGATTGGGCTAAGCCAGGCTCACGTAAACAGCCCCTTAATGGATTTGTACACTATATGTCACATGTGGTTGCTATGGTAATGTGAATTAATTTGCTAATTATTTTCTAACAAGATGATATTTTGTATTGTTTTCTTTCCCTGCTTTTGCTAACATTAGAGCACTTTTCATTAGCCCTTAGTGTTCCTAGCACATACATCAGTCCTTGTCGTAAGCAGACAAATAATTTTCCTAAAAATTGTCCTTTTTTTATCAATTTCTTCAGGATCATTGCAATGGTAACATAATTAACCCATTAAGCTGCAGAGCTACAGTAGCATTATGTGGAACTAGCAAAACCAGTAAGTGGGATGAATTTTTGTTTATATGTCAGAAAGTTTCATATAGGAAAGCTGTCACCTCTCTTGTCTTAGATCAAAATTACCTTTGCTTAGCTCAGGATGAAGTAAAAATAGTTTTTCTGAGAATAGGCCCTTCCAAGGTTAAGGATGCCATCTTGAATATATTGTTTTCACCATTGTGTTTGTACCCCTTGCAAATTTACCTCCCCTATAGGGAATTCCATTGTGTTTGCTCCCCTTGTACTATTGTTTCATTATGGCATTGTCAAACTTGGAAGGGTCTATAGCTTTCAGTTATGGACACTTAACACCATATACTGAGTTGATTTGATTTCATTAACCCTTTAAGTGGCAATGCACCCCATTGTGCCTTACTTTAGTATTTTACTCTGTCTAATGCCAAATGATTTTACTCAGCATCAGGTTTGAGCAATTCAAACAGTGATAGTACTTAAAAAAGGCCTGTGCTATACATAGTGATATCTCTCTTATCAGGCAAACCCAGCTTTTGCAGGAAAATCTCCCATGTTTGAACCTCTTTCAACATACTGCTCTTATTAATTTCATTGGGAAAAAACATAGGTGGGTGGGCATGGGCAGGAACCAATTAGATCATGTATATACATTGTAATAAATTTTCAAAAAATATCAGATTTTCTAAGAAGATCTTTTCTTGCAGGCTATTAAGAAAACATGAAACGAAACAAGATGAAATGAATATTTATTAAATTACAGATTGTGATACAAATTTAATTATGATACAAATTTATCTATTGTGTGGATATTACAAAACGTTTATAGGATGTACAAAATACTCTGCAATGTACCAACATCTGTCATCATAATCATATCTTCAAGGTTGTAAAAGTAATATCGCAGAGATCTGTAAAAAATATACTTTCATTGTAAACTTAGAGGGAAAGAAGTATTCTTTTGTGTAGCAGCAGGATGGATTTACTTGGGGGTATTGGGGGAGGTGGTTCTTTGTGAAATAAAGTATTGGGTCTTTATGACTTTATAGACAATTTTGATTTCCAAAAATTGACATGCCTGTCTGGGGTCCATAGTGATGATGCATCCTACCTCAGTTGTTGGTCAGGCCCTAACCTGCCATCAGGCCTATAAATAAATAAATAGGCCTGAAACAAACCTAAACAAAAGTCCATGCCTTACAACCGTATTTCAGTTGTAAATCTGGTTGGTCTACGAGACAAAAGATTTTTCAATCCGTCATTTGATTGGTTGGTGTTAATTAGATTATACTGTTGTTGTTGATATATTTTATAGTGATCACAACTATAATCAGATTGTTGTTGTCGTTGTGCGAAATTTTAATTTGTTGTCGTTGTGCGAAATCTTAGCGACCCTCATACCACATCAAGTTATATGCATGAGGGAAAGTAGGTTTCAACTATTAATTCAACTTGCAATTGTTACTTATATCCCATGAAATTTTGGTTTCCAATTACTTTAATATACTGTATACATATACCGTAAACCTCCGACTATAAAACCTGGCTTATATACTTTCATAAGCGATTTTTGATGGGCTTATACAAGGGGGGCTTATACCCAATGATCTTTTGTGTTAGTGTTAGTAATAAACAAGTCAAACATAAACAAGTCAGTCATAAACAGGAAATTAAAAATGTATTAATATATCAATTCGGGGGACTTATATTCCGGGGGGGGGGCTTATATTCAGGGGGGGCTTATATTTGGAATGAGGTGAGGTTTAGTACATGTGGTGGGCTTATACATGGGGGGGGGGCTTATATTTGGGGGCATAGATGGATTTTGTGGGAGGGTGCAGGGGGATGCTCCTCCCCCAATATTAGCTATAACCCCCAAACAAAATGTCCACCCCTCCAAAAAAAATTTCAACCCCCCCCCAATATTCGGCATAATAAAAAATAATTAAATAGTCCACTCCAACGTGCAGAGTGTTGATGATACAAAATAAACGTAGGAGTACACTCAAATAGAAAAAGACAGTGGAATACTCTGAAACTAATTTTTCGAATCTAGAAATCAATTTTTTTCAGGGATACTTTGTTTTCTGCTCTCTAGACTCCCACTCGTGGCTCTAGTGCTCCACCCCTAGAATATAGACCCTACTGGGGTTTGGTGACACTTTGTGTTGCTTCAGTCACCTGCTTGCGGCTCACCCCCCTAAAATTTCTGGCACCACCCCAGTAAAAAACATGAAAATCCGTCTATGTTCGGGGGGTGGGTGGGTTATAGTCGTAAGTCGGAGGTTTACGGTACCAGTACATCACAACTCTTTATATCAGAAAGGGAACTTGTAGTGACTAGCATGGTATACCTGAAACACTGCAACAGCTGCATGTATACAAAACAGTATGAAGTTTAAAATTACAGATACATGGACTATGTGCACTTGCAGTGAAATGTCTTTATATGGAAATATGCAAAAGTACCAGAGGCGAAAAACTGTTTACAAATACTCAAATTGACAAATTCTTCCTTCAAAATTCAAGCAGAGTGCTTTACAATTTTGCATGTACATATATTAATGAGTTGTGAACAGGCAGGCCATCATTCAAAGGACGAAAGCAGTCACTTTCAATCAGTTTTATATTAGTATTATTATAGATGACGGGTTTGAATGCTCAGTGCTCACTCCTGAGTCAGATACATATGCACATTTTATATAATAATAATTCAAATAACAGTTATTAAATACGATATTACACTTACCATGTCATCTGTCTTTATATTTGGCAATGATTTGGCTCGTAACATAGACAAAAATTCAGTAAAATTCTGTTATTTGTCTTCGCAAATTTTGGGAAACTTTTAAAACCAAGATGGCGGCGCATTATTTTTTCGCGAAGGCCTGGCCGCTAAGCTTTGATCGCTTTTCGGAAAAAATACGCGACTTTTTAAAAAATCTCCTCTTAAACAGATTGTCCTAATATCTAACTTTACCTGCAATGCACGCCTGTTTCATTGCTGTTAATTTTTCAATCCACACTGGGGGGGGGTCAGAAAAGTTTCTACTTTTAAGAGGGGGGAGGCACAAAAAGTTTGCCTTCAGTCTGGAGAGGAGGGGTCAACGAAGTTTTTAATCCTTATTTTCCCCCTTTACCAACCCCCCTCCCCATAAATAATGACCACTCCCTTAATTTGTTTATATTAATTATATATGATACATATGATAATACAATAAAAACTTGTTTTATTGCTTTAAAACAAGTGGAGCTCTCCGATGGTTTGAAATGGGCTGTTATGACACTGATTTGTCCATGCTGAGGATTCCGCAGCTCGATTTGCCACAAAAACCCATAGATATCTATGCAAAAACCCCAGGATCAGGCGATCAGCTCGTCTTGAAATACGTACACGATCCAGTCGCGTCGGCCAAAGACAACAAAACTTTGAAAATCGCACAGATATAAATTCTACAAAAATATTAGAACAACTCCTAAGTCTTCTACATAATATTTTAGCACTTTAACAAAAATTCATTGAAAATATCATCTTTGATGGCGTAAATTCTTTCCACGGTATTAGACGCCATTTTAGCGAACGTCGAGTTGACAGTAGTCACTTCAACGGTCAATATCTCGAAAACTGCCGGGGGATCACCGGGATCATTCCAGCATATTTAAAGCTTATATATTTTTCTTGACGACTACCAAAAATGAAGAAAATCGAACCATGGGAATTCTAGATATTTCATTTTAAACATCGTAAACATATTTAGACTTGAGTCAACACGTCGCGGGTAGTCGACTAACTTCAAACATCAAAATAACATTGAAAATAAAGTTTACCTCAGAGATTTTTGCAGATATCGCCAGATCTTTAGTAGTAGTACTACAACACTTGAGATTTTGCAAGAAAATTTTAATATTAATATTTTTTTCCGATTTATTTTCCGTCGAATGCAAATTTTTCTGTCCAAATTCTGCAGATAACACGATGGAAAATAGAGTGATCTCATTGGTCGAGAGCTCACGTGACAACTCGCTAATTAGCTGTCCAACCTCCTCTGATCTACACTCAGAGTAACATCACAAGCATCATATTTCACCTGAGTGCATTACACCAACACAGAAAAAATCATGATTACTAGATTGCATTGATATCGTAGGAACTAGATTCTGTTCCGAAATATCACATACTCGAACCAACCTGACCGCGTAGCTCAGTTGGCAGAGCACTGGGCTAGTATTCCAAAGGTCGTAGGTTTGATTCCCACCGTTGTCCGGCATATTTTTCAACCTTGCCCGGTGTGGATATACACTCATAGTAACATCACAAGCATCATATTCCCCTGAGTACATTACACCAACACAGAAAAAAACTTGTAACAAGCTTGATGCCATTATCAGACTTGTCACAAGGTTGTTCTAACTACATGTAACAAGTCTGATACAGTCATGACATCACAAAAAATAACTTTAAAACCAAACAAATTAAAAGTAAAAATACGAAACGTTAGCTAATATTTTTTTACTTTTATAATATGTTTGATTTTAAAGTTATTTGCTGGGCTTTTTTCTTTATCTTTAAACTAAGATTTCCGCCTGGTGTATCTATTGCCACAATTTGGGAGACATGTGTGGGTGACATTGAGAAACGTATCGAAAAATAAAAATTTTGAATTTAGTCATAACCTCAAGCGATATATTATACGCATTACCATTAGTTTTGAGCGCGTGTTACAGCAATTTTCGTCCAAGCACAAACCGCAAACATTTTCGCGCGTTTGTTTACGTTTGAAACGGGGCGTTTACCGTTGGAAACTGAAATGTTTCACCGCTCATGTGACGTGTCACATTGAAAAGCCTTAAGCTATTTTTGGCGCAACTGTCATGTTTTGATGTGCTTCCGTGCACGTTTCAATATTTCCAAGCCCATGATAATACGTTTTAGTCACAAAAAGTATGAATATAAACAAGTTTGGTCGCTCTTACAATATCGTGAGCTTGGAAATACTGAAAAGTACACGAAAGCACATAAAAACATGAAAAATAACTGAATTAGGCTTTTCACTATAACACGTCACATGAGCAGTGAAACATTCCGTTTCCAACGGTAAACGCCACGTTTCAAACGTAAACAAACGCGCGAAAATGTTTGCGGTTTGTGCTTGGACGAAAATTGCTGTACGTAACATACAAAGACTGCTACACAAGCCCTTTAACATTCTCAACTTCCTTTTACAACATTTAGGCCTTTTACCTCAGAATATAAGTTCAACTGTCAGAATATAAGTTCAACCTCAGAATATAAGTTTGACTCTCTACTACAAAATATTTGATTGGCGCACAATACACGTGATTAGATTCACGACCACTACAAGTGATTTGATTGGCGCACAATACAATTGGATGTTTGCCAGTGATTGATTGTTAAAAATACCCCACGCACACAGACGCGCAAGGATTTCAAGCTCGGGCAGAACAGTATTAAATTGAGCAAAATATAACGAACTACAGAGAAAACAAGAGTGTTAGTGATGTGAACGCACAAGGTGAATGCTTATTTGTCCAAGAATGAAGTGGGGAAGGTAATTCAAAATAACACATTCAATAACTTCTATTATGTGTCGTAATCATTTTATTAAATATCCATTTGCTATATCAGTTACTTTACCAAGCTTTCACTTGCGCGACTTACACCTAGTTCAATTTTTACAAAGTCGTCAATTTTCACTAAACCTATCTGATATAATTTTGAACTTTTGATAGTATTTGTATATTTTAAACAGTCTGTATATCAGCCGATATATTTTTGATATCAATAGTATATTAAATAATGATGAAGACACTAGAAACGTCGTATCGTGAATGTAATCGAGTGGGCTTTGTATTCATTTATAAAAACCAGTGTAGCGAACGGGAACATGAGTGATTTGTTATTCATATTTCTAGCTGTGGCAAACACAATGTCTGCGCTTCTCAAATGACCATCACTCTAATGTGCTACCAAGACAGCTGTAAACGTGATACGATACTGAGATTAAAAAGTTAATAATAAAGATTATTAAATTTTGATAAAATTGAAATTTCGACTGCAAACTGTCAGTTTTCTTCAGCAATAAAATTAAAGGCGCTATATTTTTGCATACATGTCTTGAAAAACAACTCGTAGTGCACTATTGTCTCTGGAAGATTCTAATTATGGAATGTAATTGGCGGGGAATTGTTTTCTTTCGTTGATCGCATTTTTGTCCAGTGTTCAACCTGTCACGTCTCCTGAAAAACTCGTTTGTCAGAATTCTTTACGCGTTCTTCTACAGGGTATAAAATCAAGTTATTGTTGAAATTTGAATACATAACACTAAACAGGACAGAAGTGATTTATTATACATGCATGACAAAATTTGAAACTCTAATTTGTTGGACAATGTTTTTTGCAGTTATGCTCCTTCATACGATCAGAAGCTATTTTAAATTCCCAAGGGCATAAAATGTTGTGTATAACAGCAATAGCTTGATTTCTAAATGTGTTTCTACACCCTGTATTATTTTGGTGTGTATGTCATGTTTTTATCGCGCCCGCCTTCCTTACATGTCGGCGATCATCCGCGCTTCGTGAAACGTCATGTAGAGTGATAGTATAATGACTCTGAGCCGTTTAAAAGGTTATAATCGACGATCAAGGGATTCAAGTAGCATGCTTTTTAAAATAAATACAATATAATTTCAATCATAACTCATAGTGGAACCCCCTGTAGCAATGCGAGGATGAAAACAGCCAACTTGACGAGATATAGTGCAAACAACATGGCTTGAATGTTTGATTGAAATAGACAGGGGACGTATCTGGCGATTGAATGTTGTATACTTTTTATAGTGTTCTGTAATATAATCTCGAACAGTTTGTGCCAGTGTCCGCTATAAGCTTCCCAACAACGCGCTTTCGCGCGAAACTTCGAAGTTTTTTTGTTTTTTTCAACAGTGGTTTCAGTATTACAATAAAAGTCAAGTAGTTTTAGGCGTGCGAACGGGCTGGTTTGGATGTTTTTGCACACCATTACATTGTCACCAGAAATATTGTCATTCAAAGTTGTTTATTCTCCCTAGGCTTGTTTAGTCTAAAAGCACAATGAATACAAGTGATGAAAGGACATGAATGTTGGATTGGCGTTGTCTAGAGACATTGTGTATTGAAATTCATGCATGGGTATGTTGTTAACTGGCTTCCTTAATTTAGCACTGGTGTAATAGAAGTAGTATAGGGAATGAGGGTTCTAGACCACTTTTTCGGCCCGCGATCTCACCCAACTTTCGGTCAGCGGTTTCCATATTTTTCCCTCAAAAACGCGGGCTCATATTTTTCTAGACCATTTTTCTATTATTTTTCAGAATTATTTTAATCTTTATTATCATATTTAATTATACGCAAGGGGCCTAGGCTTTTAGGGTCAAACACATTACTTGAATCATTTTTTTTATCTTGTGTGCTCACTCCAATGTTAATATTATTTGATACAGAGAAATTTATATCACCAGACTTCCCAGTTCTACTAGAACTCTTACGACAACCACAAATCTTACCTAAGCGGGAGAAGCATGACCTCCACCTTGACATCTTATCTTATGATAAACCACATGTTAACTACCTGACCCCGAATATCGGAGTGACCAGCAAAAGGACATATCCATACTCATACCGATGGGCATTGAGTGTTCAGGTTTAACTATAATACACCAAGCTAGCGTGTTATCCACCAACTCAGCCTGGTTTCCTAAGTAGAACATACTATTACCCTTGAAAACATAGCAAGCTGTACTTCCACCAGTAGTTGTGAAAGTTCCATTGAACCAAGTGTAGGACAACCTTTTTAGGTCAATTGTAGCAAAAACAATTTCCTTCCTAACCTGGGTAAATTTTCCATTGGATTGCTTTTCCCAAACGGTAGCCCACAGGATGAGCCCTATAGGTATATTCAGAACGGTTGAAAAAATTGGGGAGTCTGTTTTAATAGTAATTGACTCAAGATTGAGGTCTGTCATATTGTTAATAGGATCGGTTCTCCATGAAGGTGGAATCTGATTTTGACAGTAAGCGTAGTACCTTGTTGCAGCAACTGAAACACCACGATAACCCCAAACCCATTCTGCATGTATATGTCGCCGTATTCTTACATATCTTAAGTCAGCTGTTGCTTGAGTAAGACCAGTTGAAGGTTTTAGGAAATTCCTTTCTACCCACTGTTTGTTAACAGCATCCTTATCATTTACAGGATCCTTTAGATCGAGAATTCCACTTGAATCTCCCATATCTAAATCACCTTTCACCAGTCCACCTCTACTGCTCATGAACTCATCTGTTGCCCATTTCTTATTAACAGCAGAACCGTTAGTAGTAGGATTTCCAACTCTAGTCAACTCGCAATCGTTAACATCTAAGTTACTAGCTAAAGTGCCACCATTACGCTTGAGAAACTGTGAGCACCATGAAGTCATAGAACCGTAAGAAACAGGACTAGAAGATCCAGTTGACCCACTATTTAACCCCGTAATAGTATTACCAGCCATGTCAATATTACCGCTCATACTAAAGCCACTACTACTTACAGAACTCCCACTAACATGATCCGTGACCCATTTCTTAGACACAGCAGAATTATCAGTTGTGGGGGCACCTAACTTTATAATTTCATTGTTTCCCATATCAAGGTCAGCAGATAGTGTAAGTCCACTGTAAGTCTCACGCCTCCTTCTACCACCGCTAATCTTATCTTCCACCCACTTTTTATTAACTGCAGATCCATCAGCACTAGGAGCTCCAACATTCACTATTTCATTTCCACCCATCTGCAGGTTACCAGTCATTCCAAGGGAGCCATCTGTTTTTACAAAGCTTCCTAGAAGTAAATTTAGATAGGATAGATTTACAAGGTGGTTAGAGGTCGTTGGACCCTGCGAACATGTAGGTGTATTTCTAAAACTAACGGTACCAGCAACATTTAGGGATCCTGTTCCATCTAACCGTAAGAATGTTCCTTCATTTAAGTTGAACCAACTTTTTGTAACAACAGACTGGGGGGTAGTTGGATCAGCAACATTTTCAATTTTGTTTCCGCCCATATCAATGTTACCTGTCATTGTAAAACCAGAAGTCTTATCGAACGTTGACAACTTACCCTCGACCCAACCCTTGGACACAGCTTCGTTAGCAATCCTTGGGTCGGGTAGCCCGAAAAGTCTATATCCGGCCATTGATATATCGGCTAACATACGACCCCCGAGATTAACAAAGTTATTATCAACAGCCCACTTTTTTGTAACGGCAGACTGGTTCTCAGAGGGATCCTTAAGATTCTTAATCTCATGGTTATTCATATCAATGTCGCCGGCAATATTCAGTCCAGTCACAGGTTTGTTTAGCATTTTAACTACCCAGTCCCTATTGGCTGCGGACTTTCCAGTTGTTGGATCACCAACATTTTCAACTTGATTTCCACCTAATTTAAGGTTGCCAGTCATTACTTGAGTACCGTCAGTCCGGACATAGAGAGTGGCTAAGTATATGTCCAGGTTTCTTATCTGTGATAAAGTCCAGTCCTTATTTACAGCAGACTTTCCAGTTGTAGGATCACCTAAAGCCTTTATTTCATTGGTTGACATATTGAGATCATTTGTAAGGATAAGTCCAGGTAGACTTGCATGTACATGTCTACGGCTGCCTTCAACCCAACTCTTACTGGCAGCGTCACCTGGATTAGTAGGATTATCAAGATTAGTTATCTTATTACCTCCCATGTCAATATCCCCAGTCATTGTAAACCCTGCTGGTTGAATTGTAATAGCAGCCTGTTTTATTATCTCATCATCTACCCACTTTTTTGCAACCGCAGACGTATCATCTGTAGGCGCACCTAGACCTTTTACCTCATTACCGTCCATCTCAATATCACCTTTCATGGTAAATCCGTCCTTATCAAACACACTACCACTTGATGGATCAACTTTATTTACTCCTTTATTGTATCCCCTATAGAGAGCCATTTTATAGAATACATAATGTTTACAGGGCAACTTTCATTAGAATGAATACAACCATAGCACCAATTCCAGCTGCAACGGTGGCGCTAACTCCTGAAGACTCATTAGTAACCACACTAAGTTCCGGGGTAGGAAAAACTTGAGGCTTGGTGTTAATTGGACCTTCCTGAGGCCTGACTATTGTAGGACCTCCTGGAACCTTTTTATTTCCATCAATAGTATCAAGGTGGTGAACTGGTGTGGTGTCCTGATGCTGTTTCTTTGAATGTTTGTTCCCTATAGTTCCCACATAATTTATATTGGTATTTACACCAAACTTAACACTAGAGTCGGGTTTAAGTAGAATATTGTTGTAGCCGGGAATCGGATTCTTTAGTATTACCAGATTTGACGGGAACAGTATGATGTCAGGATTTATTGCAGTATTAACTATAGCGTTAGTATCCCTAATTGCAATCCTCATATTAGTTATACCAACAGTTAAATCAGTTTGAACAACAACATCTTCAACAAGCTTACGGAACTCTTTTTGTGCCAGCAGTGAGGAAGTCCCGCGGTTAACAATAGCCCACCTAGTATTTGCTTGAGCTCCAAGGAGACAATAAACGTAACACTGTAGACTTTCCTGTATAAGTGTAGTATCGGTGAGACCGTTACTACTCCTAGCGTAATACCTTAAATAATCAGTTGGACCAGCAAGGGAAGTTCTACTTTCAAGCTCATCATAGCTAATCCCTACCACCCGTCCACTTGAATTTCTAGCGTACCTTACATTTCTAACAGTCCTATGCTCATTTTTGAACTTTTGATACACAAGTCCAATAGATGCTCTACTATCGGAGAACTTGTTAATAGCCCAGTCTCCCTTTATAGGAACGTTTTCGGCAGCCGGTTTTAGGGATTCGGTATAATCACGGAGTAGGGTAGGGTTTTTAACGAACCTTCTAATCCATAGGTAGATATGAAAGTTCATAATAGATGTGATAATAGGATTTACATCATCATGAGAGCTTGTGTGGTAGGTTGAAACTCCACATAGATATGTTGCTATATAAGCTCCACTTAATGCAGCGTAGTAACTCACCTCTCTATCAAACTTTATGGGAACATTCTTTACACTAACAAAATTGTTAAGTTTAGGGAAGTTGCTATAAAAGAAATCTTTTTCGTTAACATAAACCCTAAAGTTCGAGAGAGGATCAACCTTTGTAATAGGAGGGTACATTCCGGTGATAGGATCACCTTCGGGAAAACTTATCTTTTGAATGGTGCCGTGGCTATCCCATAGGTGGGGCCACCTTTCTTTTACTGCTGGCTTTTTATCTACCTTCAAAAGAGGAGGTTGTTTCATATCAGTCATTGGTATAAACTGTGCGGGGGTAATAATTTTCTTAGTACCCGTGAGGTAATATGTAAACTCCTTATCCTTCTTAAAACCGTCATATCTAATGTCATATGAAGATATACCATCTAAATCAACAAACCAAGTGATAACTCCTATATCACCACTACTGGTAGTCATGGCTTCAAACCTAAACCTGTTCATATCTGCGTGAGGGTACTTTTTAATAAACCTAGCCCTCTCAGCGTCCTCGGCTTTTTTACCAGCAACTGGATCAACATAACCTTCACCGTCTTCCTTTCCATACTTTTTTTCATAATCTTGGTAAGATCTGTACGGCGACTTCCCAACATCTCCTCCACCTAGTCTCATTCTTAATAACCTAACGTATGTTATTAGGATGAAGTTCACAATTTTACTCCAGAGCTCGCACACTATTATATCACTACAGAATTCAGTTTTAACAAGTAATTATAATTCCGTCTTTATGAAGAGAGTATCAGTATTCTGGGAGTATTTCAATATAAGGGAACCAACAACTATTCTCAAGGTGAAAACAGATGATGGAGAATCCGATGTGATCATTCATAAAGGTTACTACACATTTGACAGTATGAAGAAGTTACTTGAACGACATGGTGTTAAGCTAACCTACTTTGCTGAAACGGCATCCTGCCAGATAGAGGCAGTTAAACAGGATATCACAATAGAGACGCGATTACTGACTATGTTAGGTTTTAGTAGATTTAATAATCCTATGATCCTACTAAAAGGGAGGAGTTTGACAAGTGATAGTAAAGTTGACTTTAATAACGGTCTACGATGTGTAAATATACACTGCAACCTAGTTAGTAGCAGTTACAACGTTAACCCTTGGGGAAGACCCAGCGATGTGATAACAAGTGTTACAGTTCCAACTGACAGACCATTATTAGGCTCAGTCGTTAGTTACATTGATGTTGAAAGCAGGATTTCAGTTATTAAGGGTTCTTTCTCAGAACTTGTATTCTACACGACTGATCAAGACGGGAAACCTATTGATATAGGTGAAGTGCTACTTGAGATGTACCTTGAGTAGCCAGCTTACATTAGTTAATATAAGATGGACGATGATATTATGAAAGAACAAGGACTACGAGATATTTACTACAATCCTAAGACTGGATTCCAGACACCAGAGAAACTATATCTTAGAGCAATATCAGACGGACTTAAAGTAACCAGAAACCAGGTTAAGAAATGGATAAATGAGCAGGACACATACACTAGGTACAGACAAGTGTTTAGGAAACATAAGTTCAGACAGACGTACGTTCAAACTTTAGGTGAACAGTTACAAATGGATTTAGTTGACATGACAAAATATGACGATAAGAATAAGGGATACCGATGGATTCTCACATCAATCGAAATACTAAGTAGGTACGCATTCACAGTACCAGTGTATAGGAAAAACGCGGCATCAATGAAGGACGCAGTTAGTAACATTTTAGAGCAATTTAATAATCACTTTGGTAAATACCCAAAATTCGCCCAGTTTGATCAAGGCACAGAGTTTTACAACAAAGAAGTAAAGTCATTGCTTAATAAACATAACATTGAATTTTTCTCTACTTACTCAGACAAAAAGGCCGCAGTTGTGGAAAGATTTAACAGAACACTGAAGGCTCTAATGTGGAAGTACTTTTACAGTGCCAGTACATATAAATGGTTAGACGTCCTTCAAGACTTAACTGATAATTACAACAGTTCAGTGAACAGATCAATTAAAACAACACCGGACAGTGTAAATGAGTCCAACTGGACTGAAGTATGGAAGACACTTTTTAGTCACAATTTAGGCAAGCCGTCGGAACCAAAGTTTGCTGTCGGAGAAAGTGTTAGAATTTCAAAGTACAAATCAGTGTTCACAAAAGGGTACGAAGCAAATTTCACAGAGGAGTTGTTCACTGTGACGGAAGTGTATCACGGTCATCCAAACACGTATACAATAAAAGACAGTGCTGATGAACCAATAATTGGCAGATTCTATGAACAAGAACTGTATAGCGCTGAAGGAAGAGAACCTGATTTTAAGATAGAGAAAGTACTAAGAAGAAAAACGGTGAAGGGTAAAAAGATGGCTCTCATTAAGTGGTTAGGTTATGATGACAAATTTAACAGTTGGATCCCAGCTGGAGACATTAAGTCCCTAACATAAGTTAAAGTATTATGGAGGACTACGATGACCACGATGATACTGAGATGGAGGAGGTAGAAAAAAGTTATCCTCAATATGACGACCTTAATTATGATGACCTAACGACTGCTTTTAGTAGGTTAGATACAAGGGTGAAGGGAGAGGCTATGTATGGTGATGACCCTATAGTATTAACTGATCTTAAAAGTGAACTGGACTATGTAAAGCGTCTCATGAGGTCACGAGAAATAGTTTCTAGCCTTAGGGATAACATTATGGAAATTAACAGAATTAAAGAGCAGGAAACAACTTTCACTGAAGGAAATGATGGTACAGTGGACATTCAAGGTCCATCAGGAAGCACAACTGTCCCGGAAGTCAACTTTGTGGAAGACCCAAACAATGTACTTCCTGATGTGCTAGATGCATTCAACGAATCATTTGACGCTGACTGGGATGAAATAGAAGCCCGCCTAGAGAAACTGAAAAAGTTCTCAGAAGACCGACTTACAGCAAATAAAAAGAGAGATTTCGAAAACCAAGTAGAGCGCGTTCAAGCTGTCGCAAGAGTTATCAAGAATAAGGAGGGACTAGTACTAGACCCGAAAAATAGATACGTTAGAGAACTCATCAAACGATCATCTGTAAGAACACTCAAGGATGGCATAGAGGTGTTGATATTTAGAAGTGAACAGGGTATTGATAAAAGTGGGACACAAATAATGAAACGTGGTAAGACCAGTAAACCTGTGTACTCAAAGGACTCACCTGCTCTGAGAGAATATAAGGAACTTATAAAGAAAATAAAAGAGGTACCTACGAATCCTGACGATATAATTGGAAGTGATGAATCAATTTACGAGGATAATAAAGAAGAGCCGCAATTTGATGAAAGTAGTGAGGAATACGCTGACCGTGAGAACATTGAGTTAATAGATATAAGCGCAAAACTAGGAGATCTTCCAGGGCTAACAATGCAAGAAAATAATGAACTGAGAGGGGTACTTAACCCACCTGATGGATCAAGCATAGAAAGCAGAACAGGTCCCAATGGAGCGTTGCAAATCCAAGCTGACTACTTTAATGAAGCTATTGGTAAAACAACGGAACTGGCCACTAAAGCTGAGGGTGCAACTGAGTATAATTCCCTTATAGAAAGAATTGATAGTCTAAAGGAAGCTAGAGATCGAACCCTAGAACAGAGAACAATAGAGGAAGCAAGAGAGGCACAACTGAAGGACATTTCTAGATTACGTAGATTTATAGACTGGGTAGGAAAGGAAAAAGTGGGACTTGTAGGGATAGCAGTGTCAACAGCAAGTTTAATTACAGCCTTATTGATCCATGCTAGGGGAGCCCTTGTGAGAACAGGAAAGACCACTGGTAAGGTAGCAAAAGCACTAGCAAATTTAGCAAAGAAAGTAGGACCAATTCTTCTTCCAATCCTGAATGCAATTGGAACTGCGCTGTCATGGGGAGCAAAAGGAGTTGCCTGGCTAGCGTCAAACTTATGGGTACTAGTTGTAGCTGCCTTTTTGATTATATACAATTATTATACTAAGTAAAGTATAATAATGGCTGAAAGTGTTGAATACAAAGCAGCATGGATGGAAAGGGTAAGCACCATCCTTGATGAATACAGTAGTGAATATTCTGATATCTGGGAAGGCCTCGAAGATGAGGATATAGATAGGCTAGATAGATTATACCCTAGCTATAGGGAAATGGAACCTGAAGTTATGGACTCTGAAATAGAAATTCTACGGAGTCAAGCAATGGGAACAGAAGACCCGAATGAGAACAGAGATATTCGGATGGAAATTGAATATGTCAGCCGACTTAAGAGAATTAAGGTCCGGAAGAGGTCAGAAACTGAGGTCTACCTGGACGCAACCTATGGAACTCTCAAGGAAGAGGTAAAAACCCTAGTTGTACTCAAGAGAATAGCTAAGGCTGAATTCAAAAGGACCAACTACTCAGAAAGAATAGACAGGTTGAAGGAAATTATAAAAAACTTAGGTTTCGATCCTAATGAGCCTGAGAAGGAGTTAGAAGTGGAGGAAGAAGAACGCAGGAAGGAAGAAGCTGCGAAGAAGGAGGAAGAGGACCGAAGAAAGGCAGCTGAGTTGGAACGCAAGAGGCTCGCAGAAGCTGCTGAAATAGAACGCAAAAAGAATGCAGAAGCTGAGATTAAAAGGCGACTAGAATGCTTGAAAGATGATAAGGAGAAAACAGAGTATTGGAGAAAAAAGCTTGAAGAATGGGAGAAGGAAAAGTCTAAACCTGAGGAACCAAAGAAGTCTCAACCTGAGAAACCTAAGAAGTCTCAACCTGAGGAACCTAAAAAGCCCAGAGGTAAAGAACCTAAAAAACCTGAATTCAAGGAACCTAAGAAGGTAGACATAGGTGAGAAGTCTGAGGAGCCCGCAGGTCCTGACACTGAATGGGTAGATAATACTTACAACTTTGAGAGTCTTCTGTTCCAAGTCGCAGAGGATAGTATCCCGGAAGACGATCAACCTATATTCAGTGGTGATAGCACAGAAACAATGGTGAAGGATGTTAGAGAGGATCTAACGAGGTATGAAAGATTCAAATCATGGGTTGAAGATAACTTCGGAGTTGTGATTGCAGGTATTATAATATCAGTTGCTGCTCTCCTTACAACTGTCATCATACAGACCAGGAAACTTTCCTCAAAAGCAGCAAACTTTTCAAATAAAGGTTCAAGTTCAGATTCACAACCAAGGCCACTCCCTAATGTAGCAAACAAACTGATTAAATTCATATCATCAAACTTATGGAAAATAGCAATAGTTGTAGGAATAGCCTTATACTTTTACCACTAAACATTACATATTGTATAAAGCATGAATACCACAGAAAGAGAACTCCAGCCTGGCTTCAGGAGAAGCCGTATGACATCCATAAAAGGACTTAGAACTAGAAGTGTTGTAACTTTCAATCCAACAACAATTAGCCCGGGAGAAGAGCTGTACATTAACATTCCTAAATTAAAGCCCGACTCTTGTTTAGTTCCAGGGTCACTTACACTCTTATTTGATTTTAAAAATTCAAATACAAAGAGCAGGTTCAATAATAACCTAGCTAAGTTGATTGCAAAACGTCTTCAGGTTAAAGTAGCCGATGAAACAGCCTATGACTGTTCAGGAGAGAGTTTGTACGAAATTTATAAAGACCTATGGCTAACACAGGGTGATAGAAATAAGATGACAGAACAGGGCCTCGGAAGTGAAAACCTGAGAAAGCTGATATCAGGTGATGACTCAGGAGTAAAAGTAGGTGATGCAGGTAAAATAGCAGATGGACTTCTCCATAGTGTATACGGCTCCAAACTTAGAAAACCAATTGATAAGATTATCGCAGACCATGGACTCTACGTACCATTCTACATGAACAACAATCCTATGTACATATTCACACTCCCCGGATCAGATGAAATTATGACTGCTCAAGGAGGTGAAGCTAAGGGTAATTATAAACTTGACAATCTCGAGTTAGAATATGAGACCATTGAGAATGACGCCCTTGCAGGTGAAGTATCAAGGATGTATTCAACAGGCCGCTCACTATCCTACAAACACGTCACTCTTATGCGTACAAGTAATTGGGACAAAGATCTTACCATTGTGAATGAAAACATAAATATTCCCAGAAAGAGCATGTCAGCAATTGTCCTTCTATTTACCAACAGAGTAAGAACTGATTCTGAAGAATATACTTACCCAAACATTGATAAAGTTAACCTTACCATTGAGGGTGTGCCTAATGCAGTTTTCTCCCAGGGACTTCCTAAAAGTAGGTTCTTTGAAGAGGCAAAATGATTCTTTTGTCCTATGTGTGAGAAATCCATGGCAGACGAATTTATGTCCATCAGCAAGTTCTTCAGCACCGGTTTCGCTTTAGTAGTAGATCTAAGGTCAACACAGGATGACACCACTGGAGGAGGTAGAAAGATTGTTAACACACAGTCTGGAGTACTTATGGAAATTAAAAAGAGAGCCACAACAGCTGACATCCAATGCAACATTTTTGTTGTATCAGATGCTCTCCTTAACTTTGCTAGTAGAGATCTATCAAGTATTCAGTACTAATTAGTACCGACTACGTCAGTAGACGCTGCTAGCGCAGCTAGTACTAACGGTAAAGCATAGAGATGAATCTAGAGCCACCATTTAATATGCTCATAGTAGGAATGACTGGAAGTGGTAAGACTCAGTTCTTACTTAACATGCTAGAAACAGAATACAATAAAGTTTTCGATTATATTGTTATTATATGTCCAACAATAGAATGGAATATGACTTACATTAACTGGGCTCATATTAGTGACCACGGAGTTATACAAATTCCATGTTCACAAGAAATGATCAATCTTATTCTCAAGGCAGTGTCCACCGTATTCCGCGGAACCCGGACTGTCATCATTGTGGATGATTGTGCTGCAAGTCAAGATGTAAAGAAAAGAGTCTCAGAACTGGTGCGCCTAGCATTCTCCGCAAGACATTACAATATATCTGTAATTGTAATTACCCAACAACTGTCATCAGTAGCAAAACCATTTAGGGAGAACATTTCCAGATTAGTTACATTTTACAACCCTAGTCGCAGAGATATGAAGGTCATAACAGATGATTACCTGAGTGGTGTCCCTCAGGAGACAATTACAGAGATTACAAAAATACTAAAAGATGAGAAGTTCACCGCATTAGATATACTCCTCATTCACCCTTACACATACAATATTAAATTAAACACCGCGTAACATATAAAAGATGGGAAGCGAATCCGATGAAGAAATAACTGCAGCTGTGAGAGAAGTAGAAGAGGCCGCAAAGACGCCGCAAAAGAAGGCTAAGTCTACCGCAAGAAAAACTAAGCCCACCGTAGATAAGTCGCAAACTGAACGCAGAAGGGACAAGCTTATAGAGCTATCTAGGGATGGCATAATTGATAAGACCGCAAATTTCATAAGAAAGTCTAACAAAGATGTTATAGATAGACTGTACCAGGAGTATGAGAGTCAGAGGATGTCATGCGCAAGTGACTTCTTATCAACACTTATTATCTCAAAGTTTGCTTCCATACTAGGAAGTTTTAATGCGGTGGAATCTTCTGAGAAGCTGTCAGAGGAACTACTTAGCGATAAGCTTTTAAAGGATGACGTATCATATCTAACTAGAATGATATCCCCAAACATTCCATTCATAGGTCTCATATCAGGTGGATGCACAACAGCTAAGCACGTGGTTGCTCACAAGTGGAAGAAGAAGGAAAAGACTGAGGAAATATCTGAGGAAGCAAAACATATCCTATTACATAGTGAAGAAGAATGTCTCAACTCGGAGAGCCGTACGACTGGGGAAACGCCTGGGAAGGAACTGAATTTGAAGACATAATTAATGAACTGATTGAGAAAACTAACGCTAGCAATGAGAGGCTGGATAAGATTCAAAAAACTTTGGACTCAATAGAAAAAGACTTATATGCACTTAGGAATAAGATCATACTACCCCTCCAGAATGACTTCTACAACTTTAAAGATGATACAGTTAAAACAGTAGTAAAGATATACAAGAACCTTCATGGAGTTTAGTATTTTATTTGCTGTAGGATGTAAATAGTAAGCGGCTGGGTGGGAAGAGGGAATGCTGCTTCATAAATCAAAATAAAATAGCCATAAAATAGGCCCAAAAATTTTTACATATATAGTATAGGGAATGATGGAAAAACTATTCAGGAACCAGGAGTTGAATGTTAGCGTGAGAACTGTGAGGTGTGGTGACGAGGTGTTGTTCTACGCAAAAGATGTGGCAGAATCTCTAGGGTACTCAAACCCTCAAAAAGCTGTCAGGGACCACATTTGGAAGTTAAATAAGGTAGTTGTGAGGGACCTTCAAAGGGTACCCAAAACGTTCACCTTGGAAAAGTGTCACCCACAGACAATACTATTATATGAACCAGGAATATACCAACTAGTATTCAATTCTAAACTTCCAATAGCGGAGGCCTTTCAAGATTGGGTATTTAAGGAAGTCCTTCCATCTGTCCGGAAAACGGGATCTTACAACTTACTAGATAGAAGGTCACTTAGGTACAACCAAATAATCCTTATAAATGAAACGGACCTTCATAATGTCATTGTAAGTTACATCAGAGATAACTACCCAGAGGCTGTAATATTACCTGGTCTAGGTGAATATCAAGACACTGTGTCAAAAAGATGTGATGCCTGGAAGAAGGGATATAAAGGTGGTCAACCAGATCTTATCATAGAGAATCCTATGGGGAAGTACAAAGGATTTGCTATTGAATTTAAGTCTCCCAAGGGCACTGGAGTTATAAGTGATAAGCAGGATATATGGTTCAGGAAACTAAGGGGAATAGGGTACATGACAATGGTATCAGATGATCTGGTAAAGACTTGCATTAGAATCAACGAGTACTTCTCACTTAAGAAAACCATAGGGAAAGTTGCAGTGAAAAAAGTAGTTTGTGACGTGAAGACGTACAAACCAAGGTTCAATTCAGGTAAGTATTAGGGTTACCTCACAAGCAAATCTGAGTTATCTCACCAGCAAATCTGAGTTATCTCACCAGTAGATTCGAGTTATCTCGACAGATATCTCACCAGTAGATTTAAGTTATCTTGCAAGTAAATTTGAAACATCTCACAAACAAATTCAAGTTATCTCACAAGTAGAATTTAAGATGTCTCATAAGACTAAACCCAGTTAAACCTAAGGTATCTTACAAGTAGAATGGAAGATAAACCTGAGCAAATCCAAGCACAAGTAACAAGTGAGAAGAAGAAGGACCCAAAGAGAGTAGCGGCAGGAAAACGGTTAGCTGCAATCAGCAAAATAGCAAAGGAGAGGAAAAAGAAACTTGCGCAACCTAAGGAGCCATCAAGTAATAGTATCATTACCTACATAGGAGTGGCTATTGCACTGGTATCTTTAGTGCTAGCATACAAGTCGCATCAGAGGGAAACCAGGGAACCGGAACCCAAGCACGCAAATGAGACTGTCGAGATAACTAGGAAAGCTGACGAGTCCAGGTTAGATTCACTTGAATGATGCATTAAACATAATATATATTATAACAGAATGAGTAAGGAATCAAAGATGACGATGGACGTGTACAACGCAGTGTTACTTACAGCAGGAGCAGTTGGTATTTCAATGGCATCGAAGAAAATATTAAAAGAACCGTTAGGAACCCCAGAGAATGTAAAAGGAATGGAAAAGTTAGCTGTCTCAGTTAGCCTTTCATCCCTACTAGTATCTTACTTGAAAGATAAGAAGTATCTACCGGATGATCCATTCAAAACCTAGGTAAAACTATATAATGGCGTCAGCAGTAGCAGGAGGACTCTTTAACGCATTTGCATTTGCTGGAGCAGGATACCTATTTAAGATGTTTGATAAGAATGGATATGCTAAGGAAGCCCATAGACATAACATTGCAATGGAGAACCTAACAGCTGAAAGAGAGAAGTACCTTGAAGAAGTCACTGATAGGAGAAACAGACTTGCCAAACTGAAGTCAGAATTAGTTGAGGCAAATAGAGATATCAATGCAATAAACAAATCACTGGAACTCGTTAGAAGGATCAATGAGTTAACACGTAAGGCTATGCCAAGGAGACCGCAGTTAAGCAATCACTACAAACCTAGCTCCGAGATGGAAGAATATATGGCAATCTTTGGTTTAATTATAGGTGGGGTGGTTGGAGGGGCAGCTTATTTAATTTTATAAAATACGGTAATTTTCTTTTACCTATATAATATAGAGAAATGGATTGGCTTGCAATGGTAGACGTTGACGAAGTGGTAGCTCTTGGTAAAAGGGTGGACACCATAGAAGAACTGGAGGCCGCAGTTAAAAAATATGTGGAATGGCGTATAATAAGGAGGCGTAAAAACAAACCACAAAAACAAGCAGAAAATTTTAACACATATAGTATAGGGGATGGACTGGCTGACACTGGTAACACCTGATGAAATGGAACGAGTCGGTAAGAACGCAAACACTATTGAGGAGTTAGAGGCTGCAGTAATGAAATACGTAAGAAATAAAATGAAGGTCAAACGCACATACGAACCGGTATGTAGTGAATGTGGTAGTAAGTCAATTGTGGTGATAGACGGAGCAGATACATGCACACACTGCGGAACTAGTGCTATGAACAACTTCACATACTACGTTAGCTACAATCACAACAAGGACGACTACTTGAAAAAGAAATCGTCCCATAATAGGGTCCGCTGGTTTGAGAGACACTTATTCGAGCATGTTGCTTCTGGGGATAGGGATACCATAAGGGAGCAGTTTAGAAGCATCGTAAGATGTATACAAAGACTTAGACTGCAACGGGGGCGCAACATAGTTAGATATAAGTTTTACCTACTAAGGTTAGCCAGCATGAACAACATCATGTTAAGAAACCCACCTGAGGACATCAAGACTCAACGAATTGTAAACATCCTTGAGGACAGACTATATGGAAAGGTTTTTCCTGAGTTGGGATGGAAACCCATAAATTGTAAATATTATAATAAATGGAAATTAAATAATAAATAAAATATTAAATTAAATATAAAATATTAATTAATATTAAAATAAAAATTATTAATTAATATTAAAATAAAAATCAATAAATTAAATATAAAAATTTAATTAATAAATTAAATAGACCTTAAAATAGGTCTATTTTTTTTACCTATAGTATATAGAGAAAGAGTGAAAAAATGGCGACAAACTTTGACATGAACAACATGACCGTGGAACAGCTTATGGCACTTAGTGAGATAGTTAATGATAGCGACTATGAGGAAAGTTTCGAGGATGAAGTGGAGAAAATATCTGAGGACAAATTCTACCGAGTTGCACCTAAGGATAAGGGCAAAGATCTCTTTGAAGGAAAAAGTCAATTCATAGATGAAGGTGACCGTTCTACTGACCCAAAGAGACCGAGAAGACGACCACTGAATGAGAAGGGTGAGAGAGGTATAATGCCAACATGGAAATACTCCGATCGACAGAAGGCAAAGGCTTTACTAGTTGAAGAGGCATACCAGAGCTTACTCAGCAGAGGAGTAGAAGGTCTACCACCAACAATGGGAGGAAGATGGAGAACAGACGACCCTCAGGTAAATGCGGAGATGAAGAGGTTACATAACATTAGGAATCCAAAGCGTCCCAGAGGTAGACCACCAAAGGCTAAGGCTAGTAGTGTTGTTAAGGGTCCCCGAGGACGACCACCAAAGGTTAAGTCTAACGCTGAGGTTGTGATACCAAAAAAACGTGGAAGACCACCAAAGGTAAAGGTTACCGAAACACTAAAACCCAAAGTTAAGAGACAGACAGTAGCTGAGAGGTTTATAAGTCAAAACAAAATAAAACTCTCAATTCCTGCGGATAGCGTTATAACTCAGGTTGGACCAAAGAAGTTCACGGTGACTGTGGATCTCAGTAGAAAACCAACAAGGAAAGCTCCCGAGGCGCCAAAGGGTGTAGCTTCATGGAAACCTACTCCTAAGCCTAGAACCGTATTCCCTAAGGAAAGACCGGTTCCTAAACCTAGAACCAAACTTCCAAGAGAAAGACCAGTCCCTAAACCTAGGGTCAAAAAGCCAGTGCCTGCTCCAAAGTTAAGAAAGCCTGTAAAGGTAATGAAGGAAGTTGCGGAGCAGCCTGTAGTGGTAGCACCTGAGCAGCACGAAATTGATCCATTTGGAACATATCTTGAGAAGCCGTCTTATAGGAAAATAGAAACAGCCGCAAATGGAGCAGCTGTGACTTACTCAATAACTCCAAATTATATGGATCCACTAAACCAAATGACAGCAAGTAGGCAGGTGGTGAGAGGAGTGTTGGTAAATGAAATGAAGAGAATGGGAGGTCTTAAATACACGGAAACAATCAAAATAAGGATGTCTAAGGAAATCGGAAACGATAAAACTAAAAAGGATTCAATATACTTCAAATCAAAAACAGGAACTGCTACAAACTTTGAGGACATTGAGAGCACTGCCGCTCAGAATCAACTTACCATCTTGTCTAAAATTGAAACCTTTCAGAACTTAGGTTCAAATTGGATTATACTGAACATTGAAAGTCACTACATTAATATCGCGATGTACAAGCCACTGAAGGGTAGTTCATATATGAAATTACCTGCAGACATTTGCAATCCGAAATGTGGTCTAATTAACATGCAAAACGATGATGAGAAATGTTTTATGTGGAGTCATCTGAGACACGTAAGACCAAGAGCTAGGAGAGCAACAACTATAACAAAGCAAGATAGGGAGTTCGCGAAAAACCTAGATTATAAAGGTATAGACTTCCCAGTAAAGATAAGCGATATTGATAAAATTGAGAGAAAGAATTCTATAAGTATTTCAGTGTTCGGTTATAAGGGCAAAAAGCAGTTCTACCCAATCAGGAACTCTAAGACCAAATACGACGAACATATGGAGCTGCTGCTGCTAGGTGATAATAACGGTGGTAATCACTACGTCCTAATAAAGGATGTAAATAGAATGCTCTTCAGTGTTAGCGGAAACTCGAACAAGAAACACTTCTGTTTATATTGCCTCCATAGTTGCGTTAGCGAAGAATCATTAAAGAAACATAGTGAAACGTGTATCAGTGTAAATGGGACTCAGGCCACAAAGCTTCCAAATGAAGGTTCAAAAATAAAGTTCGGGCACTATAGGAATTCAATGCCTGCACCCTTTGTGATCTATGCTGACTTTGAGTCTATGCTGGTTCCTGAGGAGAGAAAAGCTGAATCTGGAGACGCTGAGGACAAAAGTACTACAGAACTTTACCAGACACACAAAGCTTGTAGTTTCGGGTTAAAAACAGTGTGTCATTATGATGATCAGTATTCTGGTGAATATGTGAGCTATGTTGGTGCAGACGCTACAGAGGTCTTCCTGAAGACAGTTCTGAAGGAATCTATTAAGTGTCGGGAAATGGTGAACAAAATATTCAAAAAGAAGATGGTCATTACACCGGAACAAGAGACTGAGTTTTGGATGACAAGAAACTGCTCCATCTGCGGCAATGACTTGGGGGATGACAGAGTGAGAGACCACGATCATGTAACCGGACTGTTCCGCGGAGCTGCACATAATATGTGCAACTTGAAATATAGAATCACATGGAAAGTTCCGGTGGTCTTCCATAATCTAAGAGGATACGATAGCCATCTGATAATGCAGGAGATTGGTAAGTTCAAGATGAATATTAACGTGATTCCAAATAACATGGAAAAGTACATTTCATTCTCGTTAGGTAAAAGTCTAGTGTTCATTGATTCAATACAGTTCATGGCCTCATCTCTGGAAGCACTTGTGAGTAATCTTTCACCTGAAGACTTCAAGATAGTCGGTCAGCGGTGGCAAGGAGAGGACTTCGATCTCGTAAGACAGAAAGGTATATTTCCATATGAATACCTGGATGATATCAGCAAACTCGACACCAAGGAACTTCCAAGCAGAGACAAATTCTACTCATCTCTATATGAATCTGAAGTGAAAGAAGAAGATTACCAGAGAGCTCTAAAAGTCTGGGATCACTTCAAGATGAAAACAATGAGAGATTACCACGATCTCTACCTGGAGACTGACGTTCTTCTTCTAGCGGATGTTTTTGAGAATTTCAGGAAGACCTGCTTGGAAAATTACAAGCTTGACCCTGCTCATTACATCTCAGCACCAAGTCTAAGTTGGGACGCATTCTTAAAGCAGTCAGGAGAAGAAATAGAATTGGTAAGCGATATGGATATGTTCCAGTTCTTTGAGAAGGGAATGCGCGGTGGGGTAAGTCATATTGCTCACAGACACTCTACGGCAAATAATAAGTACATGGAAACTTATGACGAAGAAGCTGAAAACAAGTTCTTGATGTACCTAGACGCCAACAATTTATATGGCTGGGCGATGTCTCAACCGCTGCCTAACGGTGAATTTGAGTGGATCGAAAACGTTGACGAAATAAATATTGATGACTACTTAGGAGACTGTGGAAGGGGTATGGTTCTTGAAGTTGATATGGAATATCCAGCAGAACTTCATGACATACATAATGGTTATCCTCTAGCTCCAGAAAGTAAGGAGATTGATGTGTCAATGTTATCAGACTATGCTAAGGATATTGCTGATAAATTCCAGCTGACAATTGGAGGTGTGCGGAAACTGGTAAACTCCTTGGGTCCTAGAAAGAATTACGTTCTACATGTCAGGAATCTAAAACTCTATATGGAGCTCGGAATGAAACTTACAAAGGTTCACAGAGCAGTCTCCTTCAAGCAGTCAACTTGGTTAAAAAAGTATATTGACTTTAATACTCAAAAACGATCAGTCGCCAAGAATGCGTTTGAGAAAAACTTCTTCAAGCTCATGAATAATTCCATATATGGAAAGACTATGGAGAACTTAAGGAAAAGGGTTGATGTGAAACTGGTGTCATCTGAGAACGATCTCCTAAAACTTACAGCATCACCGTGCTTCCAGTCACATAGAATTATGAATGAGAGCTTGATTGTGGTAAAAAGGTTAAAGGAAGTGTTAACTCTGAATAAACCGTGTTATGTGGGAATGAGTATCTTAGACCTATCCAAGACTCTAATGTACGACTTCCATTACAACACAATTAAAAAGGAGTACGGTAACAAGTCGAAGCTCCTTTTCACAGACACGGATAGTCTCATGTACGAGATCAAAACTGATGACGTGTATGAGGACTTCAAGAGGATCGGTAAGGAGAAGGACTGTTGGGATAATTCAGATTATCCAAAAGATTCTCCGTATTACTCAGCCCATAATAAGAAGGTTATTGGGAAGTTCAAGGATGAAGCTGAAGGAGTACCGGTGATAGAATTCGTGGGGCTAAGGTCGAAGATGTACTCTTATGTAAAGGAGAGTGGCGGAGGTGGAATGACAGCTAAAGGTGTAAAAAAGTATGTGATTCGAAATAAACTCACTCACGAAAACTTCAAGAACGTGATTAAGACTAAAGGTCGGATGAGACATAAGATGAATACAATCAGGTCCATCAAACATAAGATTGGAACTTACCAACTGAAGAAAATTACACTGAGCTGTTTCGATGACAAAAGATACTTACTTGAAGATGGTGTTACAAGTTACGCGTACGGACATCACTCAATAGGTGACATAAAGGCTGAGGTGGTAATTGAAGAAAAAGTGGAACCAAGCTGGGTACCAGAAAGGGTCGAAACTCAGAGTGAATACTGTAGACTCGAGGAAGCAGTAGAACTCTATGAAGGCGCTTGCTGGGAAGACTTAGAACCACGGGAAGAGAAACATATTCCTAGACCAGAATATAAAGTAGTAATCCCACTGAAGAGGTCTAAGTTTAAGAAACTAGTACCGTTGTGTATAGTTGTAACTGATGAGAATCATCTAAGGAAAAACTATGATGTGTTACCAGAAGATGAAAGAAAATACTTAAGAATGGTGGTGGGCGAGAAAGCGAAGTCGTTGGGTGTTCAGGCAATCAGAATCCCTGGAAGCGACAAGTTGATTGCAATTGGATTTTGAGTAAAGTGTTAACTAGAAGGTTTGAGATTGGACGGGAAGTTGATTTGAAGATAGAAGATTGGAGGGTTCTTCGAAGATGGTCTAGAAAAATATGAGCCCTAGTATATGATAATAATTCTTGTAAATAATAATGCTGAAAAATAATAGAAAAATAACGCCAAAAATAATAGAAAAAATAATACCAAAAATAATAGAAAAATGGTCTAGAAAAATATGAGCCCGCGTTTTTGAGGGAAAAATATGGAAACCGCTGACCGGAAGTTGGGTGAGATCGCGGGGCGAAAAAGTGGTCTAGAACCCTCATTCCCTATACTACTAATAGACAATAACCAGACACTGCAGCAAGGCACTAGTCGCTAGTCTTGCTTGACTGCTGTATTTGAATTGTAATTGTTGTTCACAGTTTGCTTATCATCGTGTTAGTACCCAAATTACTGTAGCCTCCCCCCGGTAAATCATACACAGGTGGATATAGTAACTGTAGGTAATGGTGCCTAATTTGCATTATTGGTAGTAACTGTACAGTTTGTGCTCGAATATTTAGTAGCACTTACGCAGAAGAGGTTTTCATATTGCTGATCATACACACATACATATATTTATTATTCAGCTCAAGTGACGGATTGTTCATCAAGTATTACGTTTACTTGTCTACTAAGCCTGGACTAATTATCTTTACAACAGTTGTAATATTATTTTCCTAACTATGTTTATCCTAACCCACAATTATCTTTACAACAGTTGTAATATTATTTTCCTATGTTTATCCTAACCCACCCTGTCAACTTTCCCTGTGGGAGGAAACTGGAGCACCCGGAGAAAACCCACGACTTTCAATCGGGAGAGCGTTGACTGACTCTTTTCACATCAGTCAATTGCGAGAATTGAACCTACAATCTCAGAGGTGAAAGATGGTTGTTCTGATGACTGTGCTACCAAAGCTGACTGCGCGACGGAAGTCCCTGATCAACTGACAAACGTAATCAGTCAATTTGCAAAACCATGCCCAAGCTTGAAGTCTTAAACTTTTGTAAATATCACCAACTGAAAGTATACACCGTCAGTATTATTGAATACAATTGTTGCATTTCTTGAAAGCATATTTAATTTTGCCATCTTGTATAGTATATCGCAATGCAACAATTTTACCACCATTGCATTTTCAGTAGAAAATATTGCCCAAATATGATGTATCCGTCCCTTTAAAGAATATCAAAGCTCAAGAAAATTTGCCATATTAAAAGTTGTTTCTTCTCCCTAGGCTGATAAAAAGACATGAATGTTGGATTGGCATTGTCTAGAAACATGTATAGCTATGTCTGTTGTCATTACACTCAAAACAAATTGAAATTCATGCATGGGTATGTTCTAACTGGTTTACTTTAATTATTTAGCACTTGAGTAATAGACAATAATGAAGACACAACCACGTCACTGAGTGGCGGATATCAGGGAATCAGGGATGAACCAGCATGGTCTAGTAATGAGAGGAGAGAGGGGGGTCTGTATTCTGGGAATTTGGCAAAACAGCCTCCATGCGGTGCAAGTGTACAACTGAGTTACTGACTACTGAGTAGCTAGTTCACCTAGTTGTAGCCTTGTAGACACTGCAGCAAGGCACTGATTGCTAGTCTTGCTTCACTATTGTATTTGAATTATAATTGTTGTTCACAGTTCGCTTATCAACATGTTAGTATTCAAATTACTGTATTTCATTCGTCATCCGCCCCCCCCCCCCCTCGAGGAAATTCTTCCCTGGTGGATATAGTAACTGTTGGCAATGATGCCTAGTTTCAGGGTGTTAGCCAGGTGGGCGCATATTTTCTTTAAATAGCAATTTACATACATGTTGAATGTGGCTGAATTGAAGTATGGACAAACACGCCATGTTTTTGTGACCATGTTGATGATTCTCACATGAAGTATCAAGGAGGATAATTTGAAACCGCTGTTTTAAAAACAGCAATCACTTTATCGCTCGAGCGCCACATGCTAGTTTAGAGTTATAGTTAAACACTACACTGCTGTATTGTGTTTTTCATTATACATCGTAGTGATCATACGCTTCATACCATGTGTGTGTTTTTACTAATTTTATGACGGAAATGTGCATCTGAAAGTAAAACGTTCGGCGAATAGAACACCACAATAACAAAAAATTGCAGCCACGCTGCAATTTTTATTATTATTATTACTATTACTATTACAATATTATTGACTTATTAGATCACAATATCTTAATTTGTGAATTGATTATTAGCATGACAAAATTACTGGATGCTGATTGGTTGAGAGGAGTACAATTATTTCATTAATTATACTGCAGTACAATTAATGATTTTCCCAAAACAAACAAAATGGCGGAAACGTATTTTAAACTCAAGCGTGAAATAAAATTGCCGTGGAGGAACTAGATGAAAATACGAACAAAATCACCAAATTTTGCTTTAACAAAAGAACTAAATGAAAATACAAACAAAAGCACCAAATTTTGGTTGAAAGTCTGGCGGGACTGGGCTTTGGCGAGAGAATATGATGTTGACATTGAGAAGTACACGTGTATCCAATTTTGTCATGCTAATAATAAACAAGTAATCATGCGATGTTGCTCGTACAATTAGGGATTAATGGTACTCGTGATGTTTGGAAATTTGCCAAATTGGACTCGCCCCGGCGGCTCGTCGAATTTTGGCAAAATTTCCAAACATCACTCGTACTATTAATCCCTAATTGTTCTCGCCATCGCATGATTACTGTGCTATTGGGTTGGATATCTGCCTTTTTCACAGACCAAACACAAGCAGTCAGAGTTGATTTATCTGAACGGAAACAACTTAGTCTTAGAGGGAGAATTCCACAAGGAACCAAGTCAGGAGTTATTTTTTACTTTTGACTGTTTTTAGCTATTATAAATGTTAATGTTGGTCTATCATAGTATTATGTAAATGACTCCTACAGTAACTGCAAAGACGTTATTAATTAAACCTTCTTATATCTTATCTTATATTGAATACAATTGTTGCACTATCTATCTTGTCTGTTGCAACGGAACAATTTTAGCACCATTGCATTTTCACCAGAAAATATTGTCCATGTATCCGTCGCTTTAAGGATCCTCAAAACTAATCCGAAAACATTGCCATGTTAAAAGTTGTTTTTTCTCCCTAGGCTGATAAAAAGACATGAATGTTAGATTGGCATTGTCTAGAAACATTGTGTATAGCTACGTCTGTTGTCATTGCACTTAATACGAATTGAAATTCATGCATGGGTACGTTATAACTGGCTTCCTTTAATTATTTAGCACTAGTGTAATAGATAACTCAACCTCGTCGGGACGAAGGTGTATATACTACAGTAACTGCGAACTTCTGTAGATGATACAACCACCAGAAAAATATGAAAACAGCCTGAAAGCATTTTAATGATAGATGACTAAGTGTGTAACAAAGCCGTAATAATAATTTTAAGCCATTGGTAGCCTACAAATGGCTCTATATTTCACGAAATTTAAGGCAAACATGTTTCAAGAACTAAGATTTCCAACAACAAATGGTGGTCACGTCCTGGTCAATACCTGTATATAGCTTGCACGTGTTGGTCTTGTTGTAATTTTGAAAATCAGTAGAAGCAACCAGAGCCTGAACTTACTGTCACGCACTGAACATATTACGACGAAATTGCAATTTTCCGACCAAATACTATAAATTGGTTGGACATTTTGGCTGATAATAACAATCAGTTTTCTTGCAAGAATGCTTTAACCATAAGCTGCGTCCAACCTCTTATTGTTAAATTTCTTAGCGTTTTTACTTTGCCGTATGAAGTATTATTTATCAATGTGATTGACGAAGTGGAGGCCTGGAGACCAAGGTTACATTTACACTGTACCAGATAGGTTTCCATAGCGACGTGAAAAAACACCTACTGTATCTGTAGCATTTAGGAACGCTATTTTCAGATGAAATATTGTAATGGAGAGATGTTGTTTCACTCTGCTTCTGAAAGTTGTACATTCCATATCAGATAGGTTCCTTTTCGCGCCACTACGCAAAGCTATCCAGTAAAGTGGATATAGTAGCGTAAACGAAACGGGAAACTGTCCCACCATATTGGAAAGTTTCCAATCAAATTTCGTTTTGGTTGGACTTTTTCCCTACAACTTTTGGGCGTTATTTCAGGTTCTTTGCAATCTTGTTGAATTTTTCTTTCTTTCAGGGATTGTTGTTTTTATCCACATTGGAAACGGAAAATTGGACTTCATTTGCATAACTGTATGTTTGAGAAGATTGAAGCTCGTTGTAAAGACTTGGGAGGAAACAATACGAACTAAGGTTTGAACAAAGTTGAGGTAAAAGATTTTTGCTTCTCTACTGATGTTCACATGGCAATGTTATAAAAATCTCGTGTCTGTTTGTTGACAAGCTGCAGCTTCTTCAGCAACTTGTTCACGCTTTCTTTCTTGTTCGTCTTAATCTTTAATTGTGCCGTGCAATCTTGTTCGTTGCTGTTTTTTCTATAATTGTGTTTATCCTACAAGTCAGGCCTGGCGTTGGACCAAGTTTCATTGGTTCACTGATTGGTTCAAAGACAAACATGGCTTTGTCTTGTCCTGTCTTGTACTTGTCTTTTGGTAATTTAATTTATGTTTAAGTTTTTGATACAGTATCTTTTGTTCCTTTGTTTGTTTTCATGTGTACAACTTATAATTAGATTATGTAATGTAATCACGTGATTGCCAGGATATATATAAACATTGCTGATTTTAACTGCCCCAAAAAAGTGGCTAGTAGTTTAGTGCAGTCACGTCAATGCAGCAATAACCGTTAATGCAGCAACACAGATAACATTGCTGATCTTAACTGTCCTATCATGGTGGCTAGTGCAGTCACGTTAATGCAGCGTGCGGAAAGTGATTCCTGTAACTTAACATCAGTTGTCATTTCGTTTAATGTGGCCGATTAAGTCCAAAGTCAGAATGAAAAACATGTTTATTTCAATATTTTTGGGGAAGGAATTAAAATAAGAAGAAAAGTCCCCTTCCACCTTGTTCAAAGTTGGTAGTTGTTCGAATAACTATTCGGCAGGATCGTCAACCCCCATTTATGCAAATACAACACTTATGAAGTGTAAATTTTGTTCTAAATCTGTGATAATGTACACCACAATGATTTCATATATATACATACACCAAAATGATTTCATATATAAACCCCACACCCTATAAAAAAATTAAAATACAGTGATGTCAACATTGCATCTTGTGTCGTTCGTACTTAGATATTATCGTGAGATTTATTAGCACGTGTACTTACATAAAAAATTGAATCCAAAAGATGTCGTCCTTTAGGAGATCGTCCAGTTCTTCATATTCTGTTCTATTAACGGGGGGGGGGGGGCATTCTGTTAACACAATTGAGAGAATGGAGGACTGCGTTTTTAAGACTGTTCGCTATGGTCGATTCGATGTAGTGAAAAAAAAATTATTTTTCACTACATTTATACAATTTCATGTAAATACAAGCTTGCATGAAAACATATTAATTATTGAGTTAAGAATGGCTTAAAAATATCGCAGATATGAATGAAATCGAAAACACAAAGCAAGTACCTTAGTACCCTATGAAATTTTAATACTGAAATGTTTATATAACACTTACACAAGTCTCAAACATAGCCAAGAGTCCAAGACAACGATTAAAGACCATTAATTTATTAAAAAACATCAAATTTATTAAACATCTGGTGCGGAGTCTTCAACAAAATTCGTGTTTATGCATGCTTTTCACACTTTGCGCTGTTTAGGCTTCCACGTAGCTGCTGTGTCTGCCGGTGCGTTAAGGATGGGACGAAATTCCTTGTACATGTCAGGGTTTTCTGTTAGGCCTTGACGTCGTTCCCACGGGCGAAATGGATAACAGAACAGCTCTTCGAGCAGATTAAACATACCTCTTTTTTCGCGTTTGGCACTCCTGGCGTTCCACAAGTGATTTTGGCCGTGACCTTCTCTTTTTTGCTGCTAAAGACACTTTGTTTGCATCTAATGTAAACCGGCCTTATTTTCGTCACTTCAGAACATGGATGATCACGTTGCAGGAATACTGCGCAAAACGATAGACACTTGTTTTTTCTTGCTAGTCGATTGTCCCTAATATGCTCGGAAAAGTATTTGTGCACAGCCTTCTTCTCTACTGTGGTCCACGACTTCTTTTGAACTGTTTTTCTGTGCTTCTTTCGTCCATTTATAAAATGATGAAATAAATTAATGTCTCCATCTTTTCATAACAAATGAAACGATGAAATCATAATGCAGCGGAACATTTTAAAAACTTTGGGAAAGATCGTAATGCAACTCTTGATGAACTTGAGGTGGAGTTCATGCTTTTGCTTTAAGGCTTTATAAATTTTGTTTAAAACATAACTTTCTGTATTAGTTTATGTGTGAATTAGGATGTTTAAAACACTGTGTGCCAGTTTGTGCGTGTGTCTTAGCGATGTAAATTCAGTGGGAGCGTGTATACAAGATGTAAATGAACATCGGAGTTTCGTTCAATATTCTTTTTGTTAAAGTAATGGCTCTTAAAAGAGCCTAATGCTCTTAAAAGAGCCGGTGTTTTTTTTTCTTTTTCTTTTTTTCTTTATTACCATTCCCAACGGCTCAGGTCAACATCTAAAATGCCGTCTACCGTTATTAGATCGTTCGTCTCCGTTTATGGCTGCTGTTGCTGCTCTTGTACAGATTGCTCCTGTGGTTGACCACGCTGTCGCTTTGCTTCAAAACTTAGCACAAACGACAGGTCGTTCTCAACAGCATACTGGTAGAACTCCTTGTATTGTTCAAATTCATTTTTTCGTTTTAGTCTGTTTTCTCTTGAGCGCTCGGCTTCTTTGTGTTTCTTCTCCAACGTGGGTACTAGCCTAAATGCCTTGTTTGTCCTCGTTAAATTGATTTAAGGCACTACATGTACGTACGTACTGTACTAAAACCAACAAAAACCATACCAAGAGTAAGAGCGTCTTTGACTACTAAGCCCTATCCGGAATTCAATTTCCGCCATAAATTTTCGCAATTGGTCGTGGGTCCGAGTCAAAGTGGAAAGACGTACTTTGTCCAACAAATTTTGGAAAACAATCGTATCGTGTACGAGGAGCAAAGAAATATCCATACGGGTGGTTCTGAATGGGGCAGATTCAGCAATTTCAATGGCATTTTTTGAAGTTGTTGGAGGCGCTGACCGTACGAGTGGTTCTGAAGTGGTCATTGGTGGTATTACGGGCGCAGATTCGTTGACATCGGTTGATGGGCCAGGTTCAGCAATTTCAATGGCACCCTTTGAAGACGTCGCATCCGCCGACCATACGAGTGGTTCTGAATTGGACAAATTACGCGAAGTCTCGGTGACTGAGATATTGAGCGTCACATTTGATGATACGGCAGTCGCAATAGGCATACGGACGGACGAAGCAATCTTATGGTTACGTGCACTAGATGCGAAGAATTTTTAGACGGTGTATCCATAGCAACAGCGATACCGGGCGTAAGTTGTTCATCATCCGAACTTTCGTCTGTGTATTCAACAAGGCTGTAGTTTGCCGTGCCGGAGGTTGTTGATAAACATCTAGTTGATGTAAATCAACTTTCTTTTTACTGCGTTTGTGTTTGCTTTCGTTAACTAAAAGATTGAGGTCGTTTTCATGCAAAAGTCCAATTACCGTCGATTTCAGTCGTCAAAATCCGCTCAATACCGTCGAAGTCGTTTCAAAAGCTCTGTTACATTGAAACTAAACAGTTACATTTAAAATCAATCACCACAACCCATTCTCTCTTGCTGATTACCAAGTGGTCAATACTTTTCAATCGCTCGTCAGAAGGTTTTAACTTACGATTGTCTTTTAAGAACGTGATATACTTTTGAACTAATCCTGTGTCGTTACACAAGCGAAGTGTCAGCATGGTCCTCCCTTCCGAGCAGGGTTCAATTGTTTGGTGTAGAAATTGATGAGTGTTCACAGTAGATGCTTGTAAGCGTTTTACTTTGGCGAAGTAGTATTAACTTTTAGCACTGGGTAGATATATGATAAGTTTGCAAACCTTTGTTAATTTCCAGCATAGGTAAAACAATTTGAAGTTCAGGTAACATATTTGATGAAGCCTCTATTTCTGTGTCTCCAGCGGTGTGCTTTTGTGGTTGAATAGGATCTATATAAACAGCTCCAAGGCGTAAGAATTAATAGTCGTGCGAGAAAGTGCTCCTCAAATTCCGACTCAATTTCACAACCAAAACTTTCCCCAATTAATAATTTAATGGATGAAATAAAATGTAAAGATGAGAATGTTGTTTTACCGAAGGAAAGCAGACTACAATTAACCTGGACAGGTGATTTTGCTTCCTTAAAACTGTTTATATGCAACACTATAAAACTGCACGGCATCCCAGCAGTTCCCAGTCATATTTCCTGCACCATCATATCCTTGCCCACGACAGTCCTCCATACGTTGGTCAATGCTCTTGATGAAGTTGGAGACTTCTTCAGATAGAGCTTCTCCAGTAAATCTTTTTGGCATGGATTAAATTTAAAAAATAACTCCCGTATCTTCATTAGATTGTCAACAAATCTCAAATTATCACATTTGTTTTAATTAGGGCAATCCATAGGTCCGTCAGTCAGCACAGAGAAAAACTTCGCATCTTTTACCCCGCTAACAAGCACTTCAGTTATCATTGCGCCACATATTTCGAGGACTTGGCTTTATATTTGACAATCTCAATAAAAGTGCTTGCTTTGTTGTATCATCTTTAAATCTGCGTGAACTTGGAGTGTTATATTGCAATTTGGTGAATGATTATCTTGTTTTTTTTTTAAGTTTGGATGTAGGCAATGAGAACCATATTGGTGTCCTAGTAATAATTTTATGCTACAATAGTCCCTATATGTTAGATAAAAAATGTAGTGTGAAATATAATGTGATGGCCTCGTGTTGTTGGCACAATGTACGACTACAAAAAAATTGTTGTATTTGATGAAAGTGAGGATAAAAAATAGCAAAGAAGAACAAGTGAACAACGTGGAGATTAGTGATGGATATATGGTGCACCAGTGGGTTACGAAGGGATCCATCGATAACGCGCGGAGGCCTGGACGCGGATCATTGTTGCGTCCGACTATCAATGAGAAGTCCGACATTCTACGGAAAAAATTTTGCGTTGTCGAGACTCCAACATCCTAACAAGCAAGATTTCAAGGAAATAAACGAGTTCTATGAAAATTGGCTTACTGTGTGCAATCGCTAGAAACAGTCAAACGACTTGATGCTATTAATGGGACAGTATCCATGATATTAGATAAGCTACCTGCAATAAAAGGTAATCTTGTACGAAACGATTTCCACATTGATGAAACTACTTGTAGTATTAACGCACTAGTGTAATATAAAATACTGTTATAGTCTTATACTATTCATTGTACTGTGTTTAAAACCCTAAATGCATGCTCACGATGCTCTTGCGCAGACGAGAACTCTTCAGCGTCCCCTTTAGCTCAGGGGCCACCTGTTTCACCATCTGCGTAAGGCGATTGCTTGCTTTCGATTCATCGAGGGGATTACCCTTGCTGGAGATGAAAAGCAGCGGCATGGCAGGAACTCTGACTGTTTGAGTTGTCACCGAATTATCGTTGGCGAACAAACATCTCAATTTCAACAGGTATGTGTCCCCAAATTTCTTCCATCCCACAAGAGCTTTGCCGGCACTCCAGATGAAGTCTTGTGCCGCTGAGTTTTGGTGACCCGTTTCCCTTCCGTCTCTGTCCATGCACCGTTTGAAAATTCGTAGATTGTGAGGTTCGATGCTGCCCCGCACCGTTGGCCGTTCGCCATCATAACCCTGAGGAGCAGGTAGTCTCTCATCTTGATGTGGAGTTCAAGCTTTTGCTTTAAGGCTTTATAAATTTTGTTTAAAACATAACTTTCTGTGTTAGTTTATGTGTGAATTGGGATGTTTAAAACACCTGTGTGCTAGTTTGTGCGGGTGTCTTAGCTGTGTAAATCCAGTGTGAGCGTGTATACAAGATATAGTAAATGAACATCAGAGTTTCGTTTAATATTCTTTTTGTTAAAGTAATGGCTCTTAAAAGAGCCAGTGTTTTTTCTTTTTTTCTTTTTTATTACCATTCCCAACGGCTCAGGTCAACATCTAAAATGTCGTCTACCGTTAATAGATCATTCGTCTCCGTTTGTTGCTGCTGTTGCTGCTCTTGTACAGATTGCTTCTGTGGTTGACGGCGCTGCCGTTTGGCTTCAAAACTTAGCACAAACGACAGGTCGTTCTCAACAGCATACTGGTAGAACTCCTTCTATTGTTCAAATTCATTTTTTCGTTTTAGTCTGTTTTCTCTTGAGCGCTCGGCTTCTTTGTGTTTCTTCTCCAACGTGGATACTAGCCTAAATGCCTTGTTTGTCCTCGTTAAATTGATTTAAGGCACTACATGTACGTACGTGCTGTACTAAAACCAACAAAAACCATACCAAGAGTAAGAGCGTCTTTGACTACTAAGCCCTATCCGGAATTCAATTTCCGCCAAAAATTTTCGCTATTGGTCGTGGGTCCGAGTCAAAGTGGAAAGACTTACTTTATCCAACAAATTTTGGAAAACAATCGTATCGTGCACCAGGAGCAAAGAAATATCCATACGGGTGGTTCTGAATTGGTCATTGGTGGTATTGCGGGCGCAGATTCGTTGACATCAGTTGATGGGTCAGCTTCAGCAATTTCAATTGCATTTTTTGAAGATGTTGCAGCCGCTGACCATACGAGTGGTTCTGAAGTGGTCATTGGTGGTATTGCTGGCGCAGATTCGTTGACATCAGTTGATGGGTCAGCTTCAGCAATGTCAATTGCATTTTTTGAAGATGTTGCAGCCGCTGACCATACGAGTGGTTCTGAAGTGGTCATTGGTGGTATTGCGGGCGCAGATTCGTTGACATCGGTTGATGGGCCAGGTTCAGCAATTTCAATGGCACCCTTTGAAGACGTCGCATCCGCCGACCATACGAGTGGTTCTGAATTGGACAAATTACGCGAAGTCTCGGTGACCGAGATATTGAGCGTCACATTTGATGATACGGCAGTCGCAATAGGCATACGGACGGACGAAGCAATCTTGTGGTCACGTGCACTAGATGCGAAGAATTTGTTTAGGCGGGGACGATGTATCCATCGCAACAGCAATACCGGGCGTAAGTTGTTCATCATCCGAACTTTCGTCTGTGTATTCAACAAGGCTGTAGTTTGCCATGCTGGATGTTGTTGATAAACATCCAATGTCGAAAGGTTTGGTTACTTCAAGTTTCTTTTTACTGCGTTTGTGTTTGCTTTCGTTAACTAAAACATTGAGGTCGTTTTCATGCAAAAGTCCAATTACCGTCGATTTCAGCCGTCGAAGTCCGCTCAATACCGTCGAAGTCCGCTCGAAAGCTCTGTTACATTGAAACTAACTAAACGCTTACGTTTAAAATTAATCACCACAACCCATTCTCTCTTGCTGATTACCAAGTGATCAATACTTTTCACTCGCTTGTCAGAACAGTCGAGCAATTTAAAAATGGTGCTCTCCCGAGAGATTGGGGTGCTCCCATGCACGAAAAGTAAAACGCAAAAGTTCAGTGCTTTTGTTAGTGTCGCACTATCTGTGGGAAACTCGGTCGTCAGAACGACTGTTCCAAATTTGGACTTGATGTCTTTGAAAATTTTCTTTTGGGCTTCGACAGCATTCTGTTCAGGAAAAGAACTATGCATCTTAACTTATCCTTTGGGTATTGGAAAGTAGGAAATTCTAAATAAGGTATACCCATCATGCTGTTGGCGACAAGCATAATTGGAATATGCCGAGATATTTACATCAGAAAAATTGAGTCGTAATGTAATGCGAAACCTGCCTGTCGAGAAAGAGTCTTTGCTTTCAAAAAATTTCGATCTGCTGCATTTCCTTTTCCAGCATAAGGAAGGTTAAAATAAATGTTTACCGCATTTGTTATCCCTGTCTCTTAAAGTAAAGCATTTCCTCGGCGCTTTCACATTTCCAAACTGGATTCAAAGTTATCTATACAGCTAGAAGCCAGCTGCATTTCGTCAGTCGTTTCCCAGTTCTTTCGTCTTTCTCGTCCTCGAATTTTAAGACCAATTCAATTGTCTTCACGGAAGGCAAACTTGTAAGATTTATTTGACGCCTTTCAAAACAGCTTTCTGCGCTTAAATGCGCGAGTAGCGATAAACTTAACGTCAAAAGAAAATTTTCAAAATGATTTTTACTTAATAGCTTGCCTCAGGTTGCTTTGAAGTTTGACTGTATTGTTTCCCCTTTTTATGTACGTGTCATATTTGTTAATTTATGTACGTGTCATAAGGGACCGGTCATTATTTATGGCAGGGGTGGGGGCCGAAGAGAAAGTATAATGAAGCCAGAAAAAATCATTACCCCACCTTTTTCGAAACAAAATTTCTAGCTACCCCACCGGTGGAATGCCAGAAAATTTTTTTACCCCACCCAAACCTATTTTGTTGCAATGTCAAAGGTTCAGACATAAAATATGTAATGAAACAGTTTACTATTTTGTATGCGTATTACTCATCAAGGTACAAAATTGCCCTTGATGAGTAAGATCATCTGCTGTTAGAGAGTAAATAATAATTATTATAGGGTGCTTTGACCACAGTGGACATTATAATTAAAAGGGAATAGGATTGATTGGTAATACTTGTTTACCAATATCCCTTGCCCTTATTTCTTGTGGAGTAATTAAAGCACACAACAGTCATGCCTTTATATTATGGGTTAGCCCTACAATAGCAAGGTACTATATAAAGAATTATAGTTATCTGAATGCTTAAAATTTGTCTACTTGTAAAATTTAAATATGAATGGGTTTTTATAGTTTGTATTCAATGCTATATTCCCTTTTCACGAGATAGTGCAATATATGCTAGTCCCATGCATAAACATATATTAACCATATGCTTCAATATTTTAGAACACTAACCGTATTTCACCACCCTATCTCTTTCCCACTTTAAAGTTTCACTGTATATAATTTGGTTTCTTTCACATTCTTGCATTTCTTTATTAATTGAAATGCAATTTTATTTTGAAACAGTTTCACAAAATATGTGCTCACCCATGATTGTAGCCTGCATCCATGCTATTGGTATTTCCTTTGCTTCCCTAATTTTCGCTGCCCGTAGAAATACCGCCTGCCATGCAGGCTACCATGATTGCAACTATCTAAATTCTAAAATTTCCTCTGAAATTCCTTTAATATTTCCTTACTATAGACAATCACATGTATTATCACGGAATTTTAAAGGAATTCCTTAAGAATTCCCAAGGAATTCTTGAAGTTTATGAAATCAATTTAATATTTTAATTTGTAAACAATACAACGATACTAAAGTATTTGTCCCATGTGAGAATATCTGAATTTAGAAAGTTACTGTAAATTAATGAGAAAAAGTTCCTGTTATACAGTGTGAAGATAAAGATATTCATCCGAATTCCAAGTATGATTATATAAACAATTAAATTAATCTGTAAAACGGGTAAATAGATTTCTCTTATTTTATCCATGTATACATGATCTGCTAGTAAAGAAAAACAGCTATAGTTGCCAAAGGCTAGAGATGAACATATTGTGAACTAGCCATTGGAATGATTCTCCAGATTCACAAGGGGCATGGGGCATATTTCATGATTTGCTACCTGAATTGTCCACATGGTTTACAAGCACTTACGTACTGGATATAAATATTAGTTATGCAGTATCAAGTGTAGATGCCCAAAAATTAAATCCTGAAAATTTAATAGACTGTACATATACTTTTTGAGATATGTAATAAGAGGATGTTTATATGGGGGTCAGGCTGGATGCCCGGGGTTAGGGGCTACAGACTTAAGGTCACTTTTCCTGAAGCAAGATCTAGCTCGGGCTAAAGGGGCGGGATCTCGCTTAGCTATAGCTGGGCCCGCTCTTTACCCATATATACACAAGGTGAACTTTAGTAAGAAATAACAACAAAGGCAGGATCTTGCGAAAACTGGGCCAGCTTGGGTACCCTGGGGATGGCTTGCAGTTGCACCATATAAACAGCCCCTATATATAGGCAGTATATATTTTGTCTGGTAATTGGAGTCTTTGGAGATTTTGTGTGTAAATGAATATAAAAATGACCCTTTACGGGTGGGCTGAGGGGGGTGTTTCTGTCAACATTTTGGAAAGCAATATTTTATTAAAAAATTAGAATAATCACATATTAAATTCTGATAGTTGTATATATTGTATTGTGTGTGATTAAAGTAAGGTTATTTTTTTTTACCCCACCTCTGCATGCAAGGATTTTTTGGCCACCCCACCTAAAGCAACTATTATTTTTCAGTTACCCCACCATTTTCTCTTCGGCCCCCACCCCTGCCATAAATAATGACCGGTCCCTAAATGTTCCAAATTTGGACTTTATGTCTTTGAAAATTTTCTTAGTTTTAATATTGGGGGCAGTAAGTAACAGAATATTCACATCGGACATCCTCGAATTGAAATACGTCAAAATTGCATGTCTTAATGCCGTCGTTGCGACACTAATTGAAACTTCGCGTTTGAAAATGTCGCTAACGGACCACTGGATGGAAAATTCTTCACCTCTGTAGGATACGGAAAAAGTTGTGAGTCTTTCCTAGAAGCAACGAAAGTCGTTTCTTCAAGTACAATTTCAAGTAATACGCAAGCATTTCATCGCTATCAATTGTTGAAGTAGCCGCTCCGTACTTATCTGTGGTCTTGTAGTCAGTTTGAAACACAATGATAGAACGTTCAAGGTGATATTAATAAAGTTCTTTCCGTATACTTATACCGTGTACGAAATCAATAAAGTTCTTTCCGTATATTATTTATTCAACTCACCCTGCCGTCCCTCGTCATGTAAGTATAACGGTCACGAATAAAGACATCGAACCTGTTGAGCACAAACGGCCACGAATAAAGAAATGATGAAAAAATCATGCAGGTGTCGAACCTGTTGAGGACATGAACATTCTTCGAACTTGCAACGCAAGCTTTTTAGTGCGTCCAAGATGTTAGCGTGGTAAAACGTACGCGCTTGCTTTGACATACCTTCTTTACATTTTTCAGACAAGAGTCGGTTCTCTTGCTCAAGTTGACTTTGTAAGCGCCGTGGAAATATTATCTCTGGCAAAGTGCTGTGATCGACGCTATTTCTACCATAATTGCATTTTACGATGTCGATAAGAACACTTATTATTCTACTTAATGTGGAAGGTTTTAAATTCCGATTGTCCTCTAAGAAGGTGATATACTCTAGAACTAAATCTGTGTCGTTACACAAGCGAAGTTTTAGCTGTTTCGCAGATTTGTACACATAACGAACGTAACAAAGAAAGCAGTGGAACCTTTGAAGTTGCGAATTGTACGCCATCACGATTTGGATTTAAATGTTTTCTGAAAACCTCGATCAATTTGTTTTACCTCTGCTTTCAATGCATGCGACTTGTCACTATCTTCCAAACGATATGTAGATCCCCTCTTTGATATGGTTTTCCCATAACATGTACGGACTGCGGAGATTGGAGATGTGTCTTTAACATCTAACAAGCAAACAATTAATATTAAGGTAAGCTGTCGAAGCTCAAGAGTATAATGGAATTTATTTATTTATTTAAATAAATAAACTCCCATTATTCTCTTCAGCTTTGACAGCATTCTCTTCAAGAAAAGAACTATTCATCTTATCTTATCCTTTGGGTATTGGAATGTAGGAAATTGTAAATAAGGTATATCCATCATGCTGTTGGGGACAAGCATAATTGGAATATGCCGAGATATTTACATTAGAAAAATTGAGTCGTTTCGATCTGCTGCATTTCGTTGAGTCGTTTCGATCTGCTCCTTTTCCAGCATAAGGATGGTTAAAATAAATGTTTACCGCATTTGTTATTCCTATCTCTTAAAGTAAAGAATTTCCTTTTCGTTTTCACATTTCCAAACTGGAATCAAAGTTATCTATATAGCTAGAAGCCAGCTGCATTTCGTCATTCGTTTCCCAGTGAAAAACTCAATTTATCCAAATTTCACGAGAAACCATGCTATTAATTAATAATTTACATAAATTTGTAGTTTCAACTTACGTTTAGAGCGGAACATTCCACTGGCAAAGTTTTCCTGGCTTTATTATATCACATTATACAACGCTAACAGCTTGAAAATTCCACTCAACAGTGTAAGTTTTGTTAGTCTTGTTTAAGGTAAAGGCTTTTCCATTTAAAAATAAAGAAAAGCGGCGCCATGTTTGTTTTGTTTGAAGCAATCTGTGACCGTTTACTTCTTTAAACTAAACTGCTTTAAACTGATTGGTTGATTTTATCATCACCATGTTTTTCATCAGTCAGATCAGTTTGTTACAGATTTTTGCACTTTTACAGATTTTTGCACTGCTGTTTGGGATTAAATGCACTGAAACCAACCAATCACAGTCGAGTGATATTTCTATGTATATTATTAATATGTAAAAATCATGACTGATATCATGCACAACATTTTATAAAAATTACGTAACACGTAATAATTTACAAATTCAATTTGCTTGCAAAATCATGCATGAATTCAGTTGCTAAATAATTGTTCTTATTGCAACTTTGCTTCTCTAATGGTGCTTTACCAAAGTTCACAGGATCTAAAAATCCATGACTCTGATCTCGCTCTGTTCAGGTGCCCACTCGAAAAACCAACACGTGTTCTCCTTGTCGTTCGGACAGCAGAAAAACAGTCGATTTGGTTGAGACCTTCTTTCTTCACCATTCGGATTGCATACGGGAATCCATGACGACACTCCATCATGGGCGAAATATTGTTTAGAATGAAAGCGCTTGGGCGTTCGTTTTTAGTGTGAAGTTTCTTCGAAACTTCACAGTATTGTGATGAGTGGGGGAAAATTCAAACGAAGCTTCTAGGCATTCGATTGAGTGCCGATATTATTTTCACGGTATACTTTTTATACAGAGGTAGCACGTAGGAAGGAGCGAGACAGTGTTGTTTTCAAATATATAAACATTTCAGACATGAATATTGATAAAATCTTTGCCGATTCTACGCAATATATAATTGATGTTATGCATTACCAGCACTGAATTATTAAATTCCTATCGATATTATTTAGACCGTACGCGAGTATTCGTTATACATTGACTGTATTATAAAGTTCCTACTCAGAATAGATGGCTACACTCAAAACAAAGGGCGAAAAATTGCATCAGATCAATAAAGCGTAAACAACTATTAATGTCCTCACCGTTTTATAAATATATATATATATATTGAGATATTTAATATAACGACACGCATAAGAACACAAGGTTTGTGGGGTTATGGAAGTGTGGGACAACTGCTCTATATACTGTATTTTTTATCTGCGAAGAGCTGGGTGCTGAGCGGTTCCCAGGGCATATACTCGTATTGAAAAGCTGGATCTTGGGGAAAGTCGATTAGGACATATACTGATTTGCAGCTGGGTCCTAATCTGCGCAAGACATATACTTTTACGGATTTTGAGCTGGGTCCTGAGTCGGCTAGAACATATAGTCCATTTAGAGCTGGATCCTAGCCTGCCCTGCAAGACATATACTCTGAGCTGGGCCCTGGGAAAAAATGATCAGGGAAATATTTCTTAGAACACTGATCTGGCTCAGCACATATACTCATATGCAGAAATAGAGTGATTTTTGTAAATGGGAATTGGCTGTATGCCAGGTTGCCAAATTCCGTAAAGAAAACATGAGGTCTATGGTAAAATTGCGACCTCATACTAGAGCAATTGCCTCAAACACTTCATTCTTTATTTATTATTTTATTAAATGCATAATAACATTGATATAACAGTCTAGTGAATGTCGATAAGCGTTTAATATCCAACGAAGATAATATTTATATATAGATCTAAATATAGTTCAATGTTCCCGAGAATTCAATATCACTCCCTAGGCGGGCACATAACATACCGTAATTACTTCCAAGTACCATCTTGTACCATCTCGTTACATCAGGGAAAAGGCTGGAGCATGGGGTGGTTGGTGGGTGACTCTTTAAATCAGTCTTTACAGCTCGCAATCCAAGTAAGAATGATATAGGCAGATAAAGCTAACTCGGATATCTGCCCATGTTTAACTATAGTTTCATTGTTATAGTTATGAATAGGTCAAACATAGTGGTTTGGACAATAATTAATAAACGATACTAGGTGCAGTAGCCTACGGGTTTGGCAAGCAAATAATGAAAGTCTGTGATAGAGTCTTCCTTTGTTTAGACAATAGTAGCTTTCGAGTTGGCTTAACATAGACATTTTAAATCTATAATTTTTAGGTCTAGCGCATTGAGTATCGTCCATTAACAATAATTTGTACTCGTAAAATTACCATTTAATGTCCTCACCGTTTAATAAATATATATATATATATATTGAGATATTTAATATAACGACACGCATAAGAACACAAGGTTTGTGGGGTTATGGAAGTGTGGGACAACTGCTCTATATACTGTATTTTTTATCTGCGAAGAGCTGGATGCTGAGCGGTTCCCAGGGCATATACTCGTATTGAAAAGCTGGATCTTGGGGAAAGTCGATTAGGACATATACTGATTTGCAGCTGGGTCCTAATCTGCCCAAGACATATACTTTTACGCATTTTGAGCTGGGTCCTGAGTCGGCTAGAACATATACTCCATTTAGAGCTGGATCCTAGCCTGCCCTGCAAGACATATACTCTGAGCTGGGCCCTGGGAAAAAATGATCAGGGAAATATTTCTTACAACACTGATCTGGCTCAGCACATATACTCATATGCAGAAATAGAGTGATTTTTGTAAATGGGAATTGGCTGTATGCCAGGTTGCCAAATTCCGTAAAGAAAACGTGAGGTCTATGGTAAAATTGCGACCTCATACTAGAGCAATTGCCTCCACAATCACACAACGATAGTGTGTGTGATCCCCATAGACCGACAAACAACGATCGAGTGTTTATCTCACTCTGCAATCAATCGTTTTGAAACGTCTGTAAGGACATTGATTGGCGTGCGAATATATCTGAGGTAACAATCGGAAGACCATCTTCCTAGCGTTTGAATAAGCCAATGAGGCAAACCTTGGGACGCAGCTGTGGTAGCCGCTCCGATTCTAAAGCTGTGGCCTGCATAGTGAGCAGGGTGATGACCACCTTGGGCCAAAAGTGTTCGTAGTTCCTTAGTAAATTGACTACGTGATAAAGGAACACCGTTTGAGTAGCAAAACAATGGTCCCGCATTGTCCGTTGGCGCACGTGAAAGGTAGGTTTGAAGGGCCCTTACTGGACAACACATACCAGAATTGCTGCCAATGGTTATTGTGGCTGAGGCTCGAAACGGATCGGTTTTTGACGCTTTAATTCGTAGTTGCAGAAAAACCTCGTTATCCCCACGTTTTTTGTTATGAAAACTTACATCTGATCGGCAAAGGTTTGTTGAAGAATTATAAGGACCGGAGCAAGTCATTTCACCATGATGAGAAAATCGTCTAGAATGTGCCCAACAAGCTTATAAAACACTTGTTGAGTAACCATTCCTTGTTATAGTAATAGCCGACCAAATGGCAACACTTTGTCAAAATAATAGGACTTGTTCCAATATATGCCTAATAACTCCCAGTCGTCAGGATGAACAGGGAATTGACGAAAAGCAGATTCTATGTCAGTTTTAGCTAGATAAGTGCCTCTGCCTAATCGGATCAAAGCCGCAATTGCGTCGTCGATTTTTATGTACTGCAATGAAAAGTCGTCTTTCTCGATAAAAGAATTGATTGATTCTCCCGTTTTTGGAAACGAGAGGTGAAATATGGTTCGAAATTTATCTGAATGCTTTTTAGGTACAATGCCAATTGGCGAAACCTGTAAATTAGCAAATGGCGGATTGGTGAAAGGACCAGCTGTGTGGCCAAGAGCAACTTCCTTAGCTAAGTTAGTTGAAACAATAGTTGGATTGTCAATGGCAGACTTGAGGTTTTTCGAAAATTTTGACATGCGAGGACCATTGTAACCGAGACGAGCACAGAAACGCAAGTCTGAACAGAGTTTCAAAACGAATGATGAATTGGGATGCCCACAAAGAGCACCTTCAAGCGCGTCAACGCGAATTGGCGTAACTATAGTATTATCTAAAGGTATTGAATTACTGCTATTATATATACTACAGTTTAAACTAACAGTTCTATTTTCTGTTGGTCTTCGCGGAGCTACGGGCGGATTGTGAAGGGTGATCGTCGTTGTGATCGTTTTCCCCACGCGATTGTGGACATTGGTACCCAGGATGGTTCCCCCCACAGCCAATTCGGTTACATCGGTGAGTGTAAGGGCAATTGGGTCGTAATGAGCAAGGTCTACCCCTGTTGTAGCTGTGGCAAATTCCGTCCCTCGCTGCCCCAGCTTTGTTTGAGGGTCCGTTAGAAAAAAGGGAATAATCTTCCCGCAACTGAGTAGAGCTAGCGGTGAAAATACGCAACCATAACTGCATGTCAATGTTGGCCCACGACAATGTTCGACACGCGGCGGCTTTATAGCGAAATTTATGATCATATATGCACCAGCCTAAACCGCCATGCGTTTTTGCCGTATGACGGATGGTTTCCATGTACTGTAAAAGTTCTGATGCACGATTTGGAAATTTTTGTACTATGATTAACATATACGTGTTGAAAGCGGTTGTCCACTCTTCAATGTTAGTCAGCACTTGAGGCTTGCGCGGTGTTAATGAGATTCCCGTAGAGGAAATTGTGAAACCCACGTTGTCAGAAGAATCGGAACCAACATTTAACTTATTTAAATTTTTTGGCAATAATTTAGCAAGCTCAAAAAACTCACCACTTTCGATGTCACGAACGTATTTGTTTGGAATCTCTGGCGTGAATCCCCCATCTGCTTGCTGGATTGAGGCAACAGGTCCATGGGATGAAGTCGGCTGCTGCTGGAGCTCGCTGGAACTTAAAAATGGAAATTGACCAAGCTGTTCTAGCCTTTCGAGTGGCGTTGGCGGTGGCGGGATAGTTGGCTGCTCATCTACACGGGTCGCGGTTGTTGTGGCGTGTTGGCTTTCGAAGAAAGACGAAATCGACTGCGAAACAATCTGCGTGATCTGTGCCAGTTGGTCGGCGCTGAAGCTTTCCCTTGCGTTGGAATTAGATAACGTGTTGTTTACTGGAACGGTTTGAATGTTGGATTGCGGCGTATTCGTGTTTAGACGTTCTCTTTCGTTTTGTAGACGCGTTGTAAGTACTCGTCGGCCGCCAGCGCAGGAAAAGTTGAGTTCGCGGCAAAGGTTCTTCAACTCTAAAATTGATAACTCGCCCAAATTGCTCGGTACTTCGACGGACGGTTGAATACTGACTCTTTAAATCAGTCTTTACAGCTCGCAATCCAAGTAAGAATGATATAGGCAGATAAAGCTAACTCGGATATCTGCCCATGTTTAACTATAGTTTCATTGTCATAGTTATGAATAGGTCAAACATAGTGGTTTGGACAATAATTAATAAACGATACTGGGTGCAGTAGCCTACGGGTTTGGCAAGCAAATAATGAAAGTCTGTGATAGAGTCTTCCTTTGTTTAGACAATAGTAGCTTTCGAGTTGGCTTAACATAGACATTTTAAATCTATAATTTTTAGGTCTAGCGCATTGAGTATCGTCCATTAACAATAATTTGTACTCGTAAAAATTACCATTTAAACAGAAGCGGGTGTTTGTACCGGTGTTTGTACGAAGAAAATCACTTGCGAGACTAAAGAATCAGTTGAGTCAGAGCTCTTTTTTTAAACAAGAAAGACGAGGAGATAGCCAACGTGTTATCGCCAATCGCTTGGCTCGCCAACAAGCTCTATGCAATAGAAGAAAAAAGCAAGCCAACGTGTACCGTCACGGACCTTGTTGGCTTGTTTACTGTCTAGCACAACGGTGCAAACTCGTGTTCAATTCAGTGCAACGATAACTGTACCAGATCTTTATACGAGAATAAATTTGTTTCAAAACTGCTTTGATTAAACACTGCTATAAGGCCACTCCAAATTAGACTTTAGTTTCCCGTCCTCCGCCCGCGTCTCCTAGAACTGGCCGCATGATTTGTCCATTATTCCTAACTTGTTTCCATTATTTGACTTTTGTGACAAACAATTACGAAAAACCACAGTTTTCAAATAATTTGAGAAATATATATTTATGATACAACACGTAAAAATCGAAATAAAATTCTTGAAACTTTTATCAAAGAGCGTGAATTTTTTTCCGTTTTCACTACGAACTGCTGAGCTACACACTTCCGTTACAAGTTTTGATCCACACTATCCTTGGATCCCTAGTTAAGTTTTGTCAACGCTTTTCGTTTCACTTTTACAAATAGAAGTTCGTTTTAAGGGCAGTTTGCATTGAGCTCGCATGCTTACATTGTTCACTGACGTCAACTAATTATCTATATTTTAATATCCGTTAACCATATTGCAAATATCCAAAGGCCTAGTGCGGAGTTCGCATGCCTGTTGAGATGCATTATATAATACGTCTATCGGGTACAATAACGCAGCACTACATTCTCGCCAAACTTTACCTGGGACTAGCCTAAACAGGGTTTCCGAGCCGTCGAGTGGGGCTAAGTGAATTAAGTGCGCTTCGAGCTGATCGCTAGTGTATCGCGCAACCTTGGCTAGAAAGGAACAAATATTGTCAGCTGTCGCAGCTGGATCGAGCAGAGCGCGTATGTCCCCCACGTGCGGGCGCAAAACAATCTCCTCGTCACCTAATGCGGGGGGCGCCTTCATTCTCAAATATCTGCTGTCAGTTTCGTACGCAATAGCTCCCTAGCTGGTTGTGTCTTTTGCTGCGCTGTCGTATCGTCGTGCTGATATCTGCTGATATCTTAGGGAACGTTTCATTAAACTTCAGAAATTTCAAAATCGTGCGGCAAGAATAATTGCTGGCGCAAGTTACGAAATTGAATCTGCTGTTGTTCTTCAAACTCTTGGTTGAAGTCCATTCTTCTGTATAAAATCCTAAATATTGCTCCTAACTTGAAAGAGTCACTGATTGGGAGTAGCTTAACGCATGCGAACTATAACTTAAGAAATAGCTATACTGATTTAGCTCGCCCAAAACCGAGAAGGGAATTCCTAAAAAAAGGTTTTAAATACAGCGGGCCAAAGCTTTGGAATACCCTTTCTCGGGAAGCAAAAGAGGCACAAATCAATCAATGTTTTCAAACAAAATTTTAATCTTTGATTCCGTTACTAATGTTAATGTATGGGTCACGCCTCCTGTATTCAGCATGCACTCTTGTAAATAGTTTTTCTTTGTTTTTACGTATTTTGTTGTAAATACTTCGTACATAAAATGACGACGCCCCTCATGAAAACCAACGTACGTTGATGAGGCTAGCGTCTTGAAATAAATTTTTATGATACGACGACGATACGATTAATCTAGCAAGGGACTCCCTAATCTTAAGGCCCTCGGAATCTTCTAAGGTCTTAAAGTATGTTACTATGGAATGTCGTAATACGTTTGTGGAGACACGGATACTTACTTCTCGGCCGAATAAATCTCCCAGGTACTTGCATAAACTTGAACTATCCCCAAATGGTTTTGTATTGATGCAAATAATAGACTAATTCTCAGTCTTCTGATAGGTCCATATTATGTGGGCCGGTAGAATGAACAGCCTTGAAGTCGTTTTCGATCAAAACACAGTCGTGTCTTCCCTAAAGACAATAACGTTTGCGCGGAGAAACGAACTTACGTCAAATGGATTCTCCCCTGACTCAACGAAGTCTTGTAATGTGCATATTTCCTTGGACCTGCCCGGATTAACCGTCGTGTATGTTGCCAGAATAACGAAATCATGAAGATGTCTGGCCTTTCCTATGCCCATTGTTTCGAAAAGCTTAGCTCTTAGATTTCTAAGCGTGACTAAAATATGGTTAAAATAGAATCTCTGCAACGCCTTTTTTATGCACAATCCTCCCTCATTCGAGGTTTGCGATCATTCTAGCTTGCCGCGTCAACTGCATTTGATAAGATCTACACGACATAAACGCCTTGCAACTATCTAATGCGCTCCAATCTTCGCGAAAGTAATATTTGATGACATTAATAATGCAAGTAAGATGTACTGTAATTGCGTTCGGCATTAGTCTTCTAACCTTTGATAGATAATCACCATATTCACAAATTTGGGTGTTCGTGTTAAAAATATCGAGAGTCACAACTGGTACATTCCTAATGATGCATGCATAAATATAAAAAACAACATATTCTTTCGACTAATTTGTCCAGAGTTTGTTTGGCAAACGGGGCGACCATTCCGTTTTGGGTTTAATTAAATTGTGTAAAACTTACATAGTTCTGTTACTTCACTGTTTACGATTTCGCCAGCCTCTTCTTTGATTAATTTGTGGGGAGCCCTGCATCTTTCCCTGATTGTGGCGTGGAGTCATCGCCGCCGTCTTTGCTCGTACCACGACTGGAAGGCGGCGTAGGAAATTCTGTTGTAAATGAGCTGACAGCAACAACTTTAGACGTCTTCTTTGATGAGGTTGGGATCGCAGTTTCGACAATCGCCGTATTTTGCGGCGACGAGGAAGCAGCATTGTTGGACGTATTCAGCGTTGGACGTGATAACGTAGCTTTCGGTATTGCAATAGCTCCATCGTCATCTTCTGAACTTTCCCCATCGCTGTAAGCAACTAGTTTGGGTGGGTCACTTGCAAACTTTGGGGGGCAACTTGGACAGTCGATACGGCGGGCGACTTTTGCACGTGGTTTTTCCACTTTCTCATTCATCAAACGTTTCAAGTCTTGCTCTCGAATAAGACCAAACACTGAACTTTTCACTTGAGGATTTGCCTCTTTAAAAACACGCCTTTCGTCAGGGGTCGGGTATAGAGTTTCGATTTTAGAGTTTATTAACCACAGCCTAACTCTGCTTCTCGAAACAGTGGGGAAGATTGGAACATGGCCATTTCGGAACACCGCCATCTGATTCGCCACTCCATGGAATTTTCGGATTGTTTGTGTATGCGCACGGAGTATTCGGTCTCAAGACTGTCCGAGTTCAACATACGAAGTCTGGTGGTATTACTATTACCTTCTCACCTCTCATTCACTAAATTTGAAAGAGAATCTATTACTGACCATGATTTTGTACGAAATTCATTCATAACTTCCGTATGAAATCATATGAAAGGGTGAAACCGTGGGACGCAAGCTTTTCCGCAAAGTTTTCTTTTATGCCCTCCAAGTTTTCTGAGAAGATAGTTACGAGTCTTCGTCCATCGTACGAAGATCCTTGTCAACTTGTAGAAAAACCTCCTTCGCTTCGAATAGCATCTGTGTTGCAGCGCGGATGCACTCTGTTATTATTATTATTATCTAAAATTATTTTAAAACGGTGGCCCTTCAGCGGTAAAGAAAACTGATTTTCAAGGGGTCGTTTATGAATACATATATACATTGGTTAGAAATACAAAACACTTACTATCTATTTACAACTATTATAACAAAAGAGAATTATGTTAATTAAGTTATCGATGTATTTCCCTCCAAGTCCTTGTAGTGATGATTTATTAAAGTTTTAAAAGAATAAAAGGAAAGTTGGTCGTATACATCGACAATTTCAGCTGGAAGACTATTCCAGGATACAGCTCCGCGGTATGAAAAGCTACTTTTCATAAAGTTTGTGTTTGGTTTGTTTAAATAAAGTTTTCGATCTTTACTTCTTAATTGATACATGTCATTATGACTGGCGACAAACAGGTCTGGCATGCGTTTTACTCTGTCCCGATATGATGTGTCAAAAACGCGTGGTACTCCATGGAATTTTTGGATTGTATATACGCGCAGAGTATTCGGTCTGAAGACTGTCTGAGTTCAACATACGACGTCTGATGGTTTTGCTCTGGGTTGCCAAACTTGCCAGTTGCGTGTCTGGTCGTGATGATCTGATCTCGCCAGCGTCTGCGTCTCAGAGATGAAGGGATTGTTTTGGCACTCGTAGTAAGTGGCGTTCGGAATGAGTTGTTGCGGTGAATTTCCACAAGCTGAGTAGGGTCTTGGAGCATGCGCTCTCGGAGGACAAAGCATGAACGAAAACGTTCATGAGTGATTCACATGACATGAAAATCAATCAAGGGTTTATTATAAAATCGTCGCGCTCGAAAGAAAACTGCGAAATTATTTACACATTTGCTTAAAACTATCAATATTAAAATGTACCTGGTATTACATGCATTATGTTACAACAATTGTTTCGCGAATCTATGAATTAATACAAAAGAGTAAATTTACTTTAATATTTACAAAATTTACAAATTATGCGATCGAAGACGCATTGCAGGAAAAAAGCTTTTCGTCGGAAAAAGCGTATCGTATTTTACGAATCTGCCACGTCATCTACCACTACACCGTGAAATGCAACAACAATATACAATTACACAGAAAATAAGGAATTATACAAAAATTAAGAATTGTGTAAAGATTACAATATCTTTTAGCTTTTAAAATGGTTATTTAAAGAAGGCAAGATACCAACGAATCCTTCGGATATTTTTCCCAGTCATGTTTTTATTTTGGTCATCCCAATGGAATGTTCCGTTTAACTCGCCTACGTCCAATTCAGGTTAAAGTGTGAAAACGACTCCCTCATTAGGGAAACTTTCAACCAATCTTTTTCTTCTTTGGTCCATATCATATTCAAGTCCCACCTTTGACACAGCCTTCGTGGATTTACTATTTATATTAAGTGCTAAAACAATTGGATAATGACAGGTTATTGAGAAAGCACAGAGAAAACGGCTTGAAAGTATACGTCATTAACAGTTCGTTTGTATCATTTAGTTGTGTCGACATTTTCAATTGAATTGAAATTACACTGGCGAGACGTCAAGAGCCAATGCTCGCAACCCATTTTGTACGCTGTGTATTCAAATAGCTTCTATCCATGTCATGACAGTTTTCTTTTATTCTACAATCTGAGGAAATGTTTATCGTCTGTGCATTTTGCCTCATCTGGGAAAAGCTCCACATAGCCCGCCTGCAGAGCGAGAAACAACTCACTCAACTTAACACACCTTACTAGTTTACGACCGGGTCTGATCGGAGAATAGAATGCAGTATTTTTAGTAAATTATTGTATTGACAGCATGCAGCTGAATCCTTTATAGGGCCGCTTCACAGCTGGGAAAAGCCTGGATGGCCCACGATAGTTACTGAATCCTGCTTTACCAACAAATCTGGGATCGTTTTTTTCCATACGTTGATGGTATAACGCCAACAATAATATGTACAGGAGCGCTGTGGCAGTTTTTTCCTGCCCATTCGAGTACGAATTGATTCCAACGTCCAGAGTTTATCGATACAAATTGGGGAATCGCATTCGTATATACAAATTTAAATCGTTACCTGTGGGTTTAGATTGTGCAGCGATAAGGTGACCTCTGTGAATACTGATTGTGTGATCACATATTTTTCTTTTGATATCCTTGCGTAGGGTGCGTTGCGAGTGGTAGTTATGCTTCTCCACCAATTGTGCTCAACGTAATAATTGGAGTTTGTTGCTTTCTGCTACGAAGCAGGGTACGCGTCACAAATCTTGTTCGTAGTCTTTGTCATGTTCCTGAAAATTTATTCCAATTAAATGACTTTGTTTGAAATGTTTGAAACTGGAAGTATATTTAGAAAGGATATAAAAAGCCAATGCTGCCCGAATCACAAATTTCAGCAACCTGGCTGGTAATGGCAAACGATTCTACCTTAGTGTAAACGTTTTTGGATTCCGTCCAGTGAAAGTTCCAAATGTATTAGTCTTCGCATTTCATAGCAATGAAGTTACACACACAGCCGTTTAATCCATTGCCTATACACTGAATATAAATTACCGAAAAATGGATTAAATCGAAATAAATCCATCAATATATTACATTAGTCATCGCCGTAATCAAAATAATGAATCGTTTGTAGCGCCTTGATTAGGAAATTTGAAAAGTCATCAATGGCCATTCTCATGATTGAAAGAACAATTATAGCAGGCTTTGCAACAACTTCTGCCTCTGGACAAAAAGTTCCTACAAGATTTAACACCGTTGTTTCAACATCAAGACTCAACGCACTGATGCACGACACTTCATTGCTTTACCATGCATACCCGGGCAGATTTGGCGAATAAACAGGCATCAGTCACGTCGGGTCAGCAAGATCGAAAATCACGCCATCGAGTTGAACTTAGGAAAACAGTTATTGGTTCCTGATTGTTAAAATTTAACTTGCTAAGTTCATCTATGTCTTGTTTGATGAAATAAATGTCAAAAGCAAGTCCCACCCCGAGAATGTCTCCAAGCAACTTCCCGACTCCTTTCTCCGTGAACCTTTCAATCTTTCTTGCCAACATTTTGGCGACATACTGATCAAATGTCTTCCGATTTTCTTTGTGAGCTCGTTGAGACAGGTTACACTTCGAAGTGTATGAGCAGATTGCGCCAACGAAAAACCGCCCTGGACGTGGTCACCACTCGAAAAAGAGTTTATCGTTGAAAACACTGAAAGTATCAAACCATGAACAGCCAGCTCTTTGTTTATTTTGACACTGGCCTTGGTTGCTCCCTCAGCACGTAATTTCTAATGTGTTCTTTTATGAGTGTGGGCATGACCAGTTCGAAAGAATTCAGTGAAACTTCTACATGGCTACTTTTCGTGGCATGTTGTGTATCAACTGCATCAAACTCAATGTTGCCGTCTTTGAATTCAACGAAATTTTCGTCGACGGTTTTTGTCGTTCAGAAAACAAGAAAGACGTGTTTTTAATCGCGTGCTGCTTGCTGGTGACGCCACTGTCTTTTTCTCGTTGGAAATTCGGATTTGCTGAAAACATCGCCAAATTTCTTTTCTTCCATCACATCGTGAAGATTATTAAGTTTACCGGACTTTGGCCTGTCTTTCCTTTAAAATTTGCAAGGTTCTTTTTTTCAGTGATCGAAGTTGTTATCACATACGCTTTTGAACATGACCAACACATTCAAGTTTGGATACCTTAATATCGTTATATACATCTTTTTCGGTTACCGGATTGAAAAAGTAGAACAGTTTCTTTTCAAGACAGCTTTTACATCAGAGCTGCAAATGTGTGGAACACGCTTCCCTGCTTCATAAGAAATACCACCACATCTCCAACTACATTTAAATTTATTCCAGTCATTTGTAATTAGTATACTCTATAGATCTATTGCAGTAGCAAACTTGTAAAATAAAATAAAATAACACACACACACACACACACAAATTGGACTTAAATGCCAATTACAGTGGGTCCTTTGTTAGATTACAACATAATATATACATCACCATTCACCTGATTCGGCAGCATCAAAATACCAAGTTCATCGCCATATTCCTCTAATTAGTGATACCAATTTCGTATCAAATAAAACAGAAAGCTTGTGTGACTTAGTGAATTTATCTTTTGTGCTCCAGTCCTTTTCGCCAAGCGATAAAGACACAAAATCTCCAAGGTGTAGCAAAACAAACACCATGTTTTCTAAGTCCTGTTTTTAGCTTCAAATTAATTGATTTTCACAAATATGAAAACTGATTTTCATACAATTGTGTTCTCGTCTTCTCGTTTCTCTTATGAGTTTGAGCATGGCCAGTTCAAAAGAATTCAATGAAATTTTTACATGACTTCTTTTCGTGGCATGCGTGCATCGAAGATCAAGCTCGATGTTGCCATCCTTGAATTCAATGGAATTTTCTCGACGGTTTTTTGTCGTTCAGAAACAAAGAATCAGTTTTTTAGACATGTTTTTGATCGCGTGCAGCTTGCTGGCTACGCCGCTGTTTTTATTCTTTCTCTGAGAGTCGTTTCATCGTGCTCTAAAGCAGCAATTAGCCCTGGCAACACAATGTCACAATAATTGTTTTTCAATTTGTTTGTGCAAAAGTACAAAACTGCAAAAAATAAATGAAACTTGAACACTTTTAAGTACAGA